TTAGGCTCAATGGAAAGCCTAAAGGTGAAATGCCCAGGCAGTGTAAGCGATAAACATTCATAAGAAGAGAGGGAGATTGAATTCAGATAGATTCCAGGGTTTATATATTCCAAGACCTAGATAGCAAGAAAATAACGTTGATGTAATATAGCTAAGTAATTTGTAGGATGAAATATTATATTTGGTGTATAGAATTGTCTGAGGATGTGCCAGTATGTGAGTATGAATAACAACGAGGCACGCGTTACCTAAGGCATGAGGTTAATGCAAGGCTGAGGCATGAACCTTGGAATTAATAAGCACTGGGTAAATATGGTCCAATCAATTTTCACACTTACCCAGTTTGGCTTAGACCTTTATGTACCAGTAAGGATAATGTGGGTTGCCGCGTGCAACGAACTATTAGGAATTTTTGTTACCACAAGTAGTTTTGGCTATCTTCGGATAATCATAGGTACTGCTGTCTGTATGGGTGGGACCTCGAACTTATGTTGCATTGTACTTATTCGAAGCTCATAATCTCATACACAATACACTATACACTATACATAATACAACTTCAACTCACCCCTCAAAGTCGACTAAACCACACACCTACCTACCTACCTACCTACCTACCTACCTACCTACCTACCTACCTACCTACCTATCATCTATTCTATATTCTCCAATTCCTGAAATTTATATCTCATCCTATCATAATCACCATCGCAGTCGCAATCGTCGCACGAGCTAATCAATCTTCAATGCGTGAGTGAATGTCTATTCCAAGCTTCCCAGCTTAGAATGCCACTGATCAATTATACTGCTCGATAGCTGCCCCATAGACGCCATCTTCGATTTCGCGACAACGGACTAGACACGTTCTATTGATTCATCCTTCAATTGTACATATTGGCCATATCGGCCTGAGCCAACATGGTGGATTTTAATTCCTTAAACCCTCTCAAGGCTACTAAACGACACACACAATATTCAGGTATATCTGCCCAGGAGGAGCCGCCTCAAGAGTATGATAGTGAGAAGTATGGCCACCATGAAGATTCCGACGACGAAGATTCGGACTATTCCTCCTATCCATCATCACCCTCTTCCTCGAGAGAGACATCGAATTCATACCACTCCAATGCTCCAATATTACGAAAAAGAGCAAACACAGCTACTCAACGACCAAGCCCTCGAAGACTACCTCCCAAAGTCATGAGATATCTATGTTTAGCCATGATATCTACAATAGTTATATTCATGTTGAGTTTAATTCGAATGAGCCATCTCTCAACCCAAAAGGTTCAAGATGGCCATGTATTAGTGCCACCGCCTCCACTCTGGGAGTCGTTCCCATTTCTATCGCGATATTACGGTGGAATAAGAACGTTAGTACCGCTTTCTGAAAACAAACCAGAGTATCCTCGCGAAGAGGATGAGTTACCTCTGCAAAATCAGACCTCGACTGAGAAAATGGTCACACCTGTGCGCAGTCTTCCGGCCAGTAAACCATTTCAGCCATATACCAATGTCACATCCGGTGTTTTCAATGACGATTATGCACCTGTCCAGGAATGTTTCCTCAATCGCGAGAATACTGTACGTGCGCCAAGACTACAATATTACGAAGGCAGACCAAGCGGATTCCCAGATCATATTATGGGCTCTTACGAAGTTCTTGGTTTACCAGAAGATATTTGTTTCGAACGATATGGCAGATTAGGGCCTTATGGTTATGGATATGGCTTACGATATGGGGGTACTGGAACAGGTCAACATGGAGAGATGGAGGGCTCTGATGCCGTCTGGGCAGACAACTCAAACGCTGAGAAGATGCATTCTGGTCAGGTTGACTACCGAAAGGTTGATTGGGCTGATGCTCAGAAAAGATGCCATCAAAGAAATGCGGCACGCTTTCAACCAATTGAACCAATTGTCAAAAAACCCACTACCTTTTCAACTGTCATTGAGCAGCAAGATAGCCATTTACTCACCAGGGACGAATCAGTCGATCCCGTCGTCAACACTAATTCTAGTACAGTTGATACCGCCTCGAGAGTAGTTGCAACGCCACCCAAAAAATACCTTCCGCGAACTGCATTTGTCATTCGACTCTGGGACGAATATCAGTGGCGAGATGAGGACATCATGGCGTTGAGAGCTTTGATATCCGAGATCTCCATTGATTCAGGCGGCCAATACGATGTTCATCTCTTGGTTCAAGTCAAGGATCCTGCTGTACATCCTGTCTTCGCCGATGAAGAAACATATCAAAAGCATTTGAAAGATTGTTTACCCGCAGAATTCGTCGGAATCGCCACATTTTGGGGTGAAACCCAGATGCTTATGCTTTACCAAGGCTTATTTGACACCTTCGCTCGAGGCCTACCGGTTCATGGATCTTATCGGGGGCTTCAGATGGCAATGCAATGGTTTGCTCACAACCATCAAGAGTATGATTTCTTTTGGGAATGGGAGGTTGACATTCGATACACCGGACATTGGTATGACTTCTTATCAAAAATTGATTCCTGGACAAGGGAGCAACCCCGAAAAGGACTGTGGGAGCGCAACGGTAGATTTTATGTTCCGGAAGTTCATGGTACATGGGAAGATTTCAAACAAATGGTCCGTGTACAAACCGAGATTGGAACTGAAAGCCCGAACAATATGTGGGCTGGCATAAACGGTCAAAAAGGTCAAAAAGGCGGACCAGTACGTAAAGGCGAGAAGCCAATCTGGGGGCCTGAAAGACCTTCAAACATGGATGATTGGTTTGAAACTGAGAACGATCCTGTTCCTCCAACTAGCTACGACAAGGACAAGTACACTTGGGGTGTTGGTGAGGATGCCGACCTTATTGTTTTCAATCCACTTTTTGATCCAGATGGAACTACCTGGCTTCTTGCAGAAGATGTCACAGGCTACAACCTTACTGGAGGTTTGCCACCTCGCCGGGCGACTATCATTGCAGCATCTAGGATGTCTCGCAAACTCCTCAATACTATGCATCGTGAAACCACATTTATGAAGCATCATGCTTTTACAGAAATGTGGGCTCCAACGACAGCGTTGCACCACGGTTACAAAGCAGTTTCCGTCCCTCATCCACTGTTTGTCGATCGTGAATGGCCAACTGAATACCTTGCAAGCATCATGAACGGCGGGAGGAATGGTGCAACTGGCGGAGCAAGAACATCTGTGTTTGGGGACCGTGAACATAACCTCCGAGGAATGACTTGGTTCTATAACACTGGATTCGCACCCAATCTATGGCGAAGGTGGCTTGGTTTCAAGGTTGACAACGAGGGAGGTGAAGAATTCGAAACGACTGTTAATGAGGGTAGAAATGGGCAACATGTCAATGATATGAGGGGCGGGGAAGGCCGAATGTGTTTACCGCCTATGTTATTACATCCCGTGAAGGGTGTAGAAATACCGGTGGAAGGACTACCTCGTCTAAATGAGGAAGAGTTGCCAGAAAGTGACCCGACGGCTTGATTTGAACATATTGTCACACATAGGAGTACAAAACTTTCATCCTACTCTATAATGTTCCCTTGAGGAACTCTCGAATACTTTTTTGATTCTAGTATTCCATTCTTCTTTTCTGAGATTTCTTGCTTGGGATAAATGCATTGCTGGTATGCGTGGCGTTTGAACGGCATGAGTATGGTTTTATGAACGAAAACGATTTGCATATTGGTTCTTTTCTTCGGGATGATAGATCCTAGGATTCGATGATTCTCTGGGAGGAATATTGGGCCGAAGCGACGGACGGTCGTCAAATCAGGATACGAATTAGTAATTGGACGATGGAAGATGTAGTGGTTTGAATCAAAGTAGAGGATAGTATAAATAGCTCATAGCTCATGGGCATGAACAAATAGCATGAGGGGACACACATACAAATTTTATAGAGTAGAATAACTAAATTCAGATGAATTGCAACTTGTATCTTCACATCCAACTCAATACTCGTACCTAAAACAATCGTGTAAAACCCACAAAGCCCGCTATGGTTCATACGCACTAGACACACCGTCTCGGAAACTAAGTTCCTTGCACATCCATCACAGTCCCACCACCCCCTCGCTTAACCTCCAAACTCTGTAAAGAATTTTCGCAACCTACATACCGTAATATATTTGTGAACGAAGAGCACATTTTTAACAATTAAAGCATCAGCCTGCCCGGCTAGCTCAATCGGTAGAGCGTGTGACTCTTATTCATCGACAGATGTGATAGTCAATCACAAGGTTGGGGGTTCGACCCCCCCGTTGGGCTCAATTCCCTTCATTTATTTTTTTGTGAATTTTTTGGAATTTTTTTAAGGGGACTTTTTGAGGGGGGGAGGGGTGTGGTGTCAGTATTTCTTTAGTTAGGAGGTAGATATATATATATATTGTGCTTATTTGCCCTTTTGCTTCCGTTTTCGCTTTCAGCGGGTGATATGGTATCTATGTGTGTATACCTATATATAGGCGGAAGGAGGTGAGTATCGATTGATGAAATCAGATTATATAGATTGAATGTTAGGTACCCAGTAAAGTAAGTAGATTTTTAGTTTCCGGGCCAGAGATCAATGATCGTGAGTGATTGAACCGGTTTTTGTTGATGCAATGTACAGACGGGCTGTTCGAATGGTATGCAGAGGGTTATTGCATTTGAATACAAGTACTGATCAGGCCGTATGGTATGTATTTGCACTGAAGATGTGTGGATGTTTACTGTATGTACTGGGTGTGAATTTCTCGATGTGTGATGTGTAGCTCGTGGTGGAATGGGGTATTCGATGGATCTTGATTTTCATTCAAGGATTTGGAATAATATATACAGGCTTTGGGAACAATAAAACTGTTGACGACACTGAGGATAGTCTGCGGTCCAAAGATTGTGTGCCGGGTTAAAGGGGCTGGTAAACCTGGTTGGAGGTGCTCAATACGCTCTACATAGGTAGCCATTACATAAATTAAATATCACTTTACGTACCTAGTTCTGGTTGTATCTTGGATCGTCCTTTCGAAATCAAAAAATATATATTATTCCCTTACCTGTACAAGTGGTCATCATCCGTACTTGTGAGGTTGTTTTGTGTGTTGGTTTATATGAAGTGTCCGTTATGTTCATATCCATATTTTCCCTTTGATTCTCATTTCATCAATATCTCATGTGTAACGACCTCCTCTCCCAACCATCATGCATCTACAACCAAACCACGCAACCCAATCGTCCATCTGAAAAAATCTCCCTCCCTAGAAGAAACGCCACAGGGCTATGTATTAATTGAAAAGCAGTATTATCTCATTTTCCAACCACTAAGCTGCACCAGCTCCATGCTCAATTTTCTTGCCTTTGACACTCCTCCATTCCACAAAACATGCACAAAACGTTGCAATAGCACCAACCGCAATTGCCAAAACAAACGATTCATCCAAAGCTTTACAATATGCAACTAATACACCCACCAGGTCAGCAGGACTAATGACCTCGCGAAGATGTGTTGCACCAGCAGCGTAGATGACGGCTGGATCAACTTCAGGGGCGTATTGAGGTACATATTTGACGAGTCCGTTGCTAAACACATTTTGTGCAATGGAAATAGAGATGGCTCCGCCGAGGGAATTGAAGAAAATAGCGATGGCGTTTCCACTGGGCATATCTTTTGCGTTGAGAACAACTTGAACGGCGATGAATGGAATTTGTACTCCCATGCCTGCACCGATTCCGCAGACTAATTGGTAGCCTACCCATTTTCCAACGCTAGAGCCTACTTGAAGCGTGTACATGAGTCCGGCGCCAATCGTGAAGACTGCACCGGCAAAAATCATGAAAGGCTTGTAGAAGCCAAGGACAGTGATACCAGCGCCTGCAAAAATAGATGAGACGATAACGGAGCCGAGGTATGGAATCGTACGAATACCGGAAGCTTCTGCGGAGGTGCCCTTTACAGCTTGGAAGTAGAAGGGAAGGTAATAGATATGTGTGTAAAGACCCATTGACATAAAGCAAGAGAATAGACAGGCACTAAGAACAGTTCGCTGGCTGAAAATCCTTGGAGGAATGGTAGCTCGTTCACCGCGACGAAATTGTTGGGCAATGAATACAATGATCAAAAGACCGAATCCGAGTAAACAGCCCCAGACTTTCGAATTGCTCCAAGGGTGTTTCGAACCACCCCATTGTAAGGCTAACAGTAGACTGATGATCGCCCCCATGAGGAAAGTCGCTCCGACGAGATCGATTTCCAGAATTCTTTGCTTGACGGTCATGCCGGATATTTTTCTTGGGGGAGGTTTGAAGAATAATGCTACGGCACCAATAGCAATTCCGCCAACTAAAATGTCAAGGTCAGTTATTTTTCAACCCAAGTCAGTTTTTGGTTGTAATCAAGAAGTTCTATCATATCGGAAAGTGAAGAGGATCAGGGGTCCCAGTAGTCCGACTGCAGTCCAACGGTTAAAGCTTTCAATTCATGAAGCAGGATAAAGCACTGAATTCGCTCTCAATGCTGTACTACTCCCAGAAATTGAGAACAGATTCAGAAGGCTAACCAGGACTACTAGAAACCTGAGAAATAGGCGTCGTGGCGTTGTGGAATAGGAGACCAGAAATACAACAGTGAAGATCCGAATTTAAATAATCAAACTTACATGGAAGATTTATCCAAAAACACCTGTACAAATTGACGAATCAGTAATTACTTATACAAAAAGGGTTTGAGGAGCGCATGAGTGGTAAAAGGTGTTTGAGACAGCATAGAGGAAGCAAAAGCCGAAGCTAAAAAATCAAGTTTGGAATCAAAAAAAGTGAAAATAAGGAGCTGGATATGCTTACCATCGCCATGAAGCCTTGTCAGTTAAAGCACCACCAAGAAGGGGACCGACGACACTAGAAATGCCAAACATCGATGATAGCATAGCAATATACAATGGTCTCTTAATCAAAGGCACGGTGAACCCAATCTAGACAGAGTTAGTTGAGATGCACCTTCCACGAAAATGATAAACAATAGACGCTTATCAAAAGTAAAGACAGCTTACTATTGTCATGCCGCCAGAAAATAGTGCTGATGCTCCTGCACCGGCAACCGCTCTCCCTATAATAAGCATGACTGAATTTCTTGCAGCGGCACAGATAATAGATCCAACCTCGAAGAGGACAAGAGCGAAGAGATAAGTCCATTTGACATCAAAATAGGTATATATACGTCCAAACGATGGTTGAAGGGCGGTTGTCGTAAGCAAGTAAGAGGATCCATACCATCCAACATCGTCCAGAGAGTTGAAGACTGAGGTTATTTTGGGAATAGCAGTGGCGATGACTAAAGGTGGTTAGTATGGTACTTGAGCCATCCTTTCAATAAAGCGAATGAGTAGACAGTTCATGCTGATGAAGCTGAGGAAACTTAATGCAGGTGTTCCGTTAAAGGAGACAATTGAGTATCGAACAGTGTTGATGCCAAAGGTTCGATGTCCCACATCAAGATGAACATATCAAAATTTGAAAGCTTACTAGTATTATCCAGCGCCACAGTAAACGTAGCCATGCAAAGACCAAAAGTCAAGAGTGCCAGTGGCACACCTGATACATAATGGTTCTCGTCATCATCTTCTTCGTTTGATTCTTCTGTCCCTTCTAAAACTCCCCCTTTCTCCCCATCGTGCTCTATGGGTGCACCGATTCCCGCGGACGCATTTTCATGCAAGTCTTTCTCCGGGTCTGAGAGTTCACTTGGATGATGTTTAAAAGATGTAGCAGCTGCATGTGCCTTCTCACTGTCCTCATATACCACGCCAACACCACCAATAGTAGGTGCTACATCAGGTAATGGCGATGTTGATTTATGTTTGCCATGCTTGTTTGAATGGTTGGTAGTTTCTAGTGTTGGCGCAGCAGGCTGAGCGGGTTGTTCCGTCTGTATGTCCGTCATGATTGGAGATGTGGACCCTGAACCTCGTGTTTACCCCAGAAATCGTTTGCGACTTTGAATTCTATTCGACAGTCGAATTTAAAATGGATCTTGTCAAGATGCTTGATTTGACATTTGATATTGGATCCAAAAGCTTCCAGAAATGGTACGAAAGTGATACAAAAATGATCGTGAAGAAGAGGAGGGTTGGTGGCGATTTATCAAGTGTCGAATCTTACGAACGAGATATGAGACTATTAAGAGAAAGTTCACCAAAGTATAGGGAAAAACATATATCTTCCGCTTAATTTGATAACCTACACTCCCCATGTCAATTGATCTAATTCCTGTCCAGGATTCGCATCGGCTCATTAGCTCTCCGGAGAAAAGAAGCCGTTTAGGATAAGAGCTGACAGGGTCGGTTATAAACAACCAATGATATACACATTTTGAATGAATCTCGAGCTCCAGCTATTCTCGACCCTCCCTTACAGTGCAGCAGTGCATACAAACATTCTGGCCATTGCGATCGAACCATGGATGATGGCTCTGTTACTTCAGCTCAAGGGGGGGAGCTCGCTCCGAAAGACTCAAAAAGGAGCAAGCCCTCCAGATCTGCAAGATATCTGTCGTCAAAAGATTCCTTCTGGAATACAGTTTTGAATGCATGGCATGGTTACCGAATATCGGTACGAGACAATGTTGTGCTTCGTGTCTTTGTACGATGGGAAATATCGGCACTGATAGTGAAACCGTACACAAAGACGCTGCCGAAGTATTGCCCAATTTCTTGGCATCACGTTGCAAGATATAAAATCATGGGGAAGGGTTGCGGCGTGGGTAAGTAGAACACACGAGTACGAATCCGAATACGTTCTGGGTCAAAAATCTACACGAATGATACCAGGGACAAATAGCTTTACAATTTAGCCGGTAGGGCTTTGATTTGGGATGAACATTAGTTGATATTCCATGAGATTCAGCAGTGGATCATCTGATATTATGGGTGATTTCGATGTGTGATGTTTTGGGCAAAAGAGTTTCCATTTCCTGCCCTATGGGATTGTCTCGATATGAAGAAGAGTTGAATGTCAGTAAAGGGGTATGCTACCCAGTATCTCATATTGGCGCGCAAGCGATATAGAAAGCTTCAGTCGAAAATTCGAATCGAATACTGATAATACATAGCTGTTCCAATTCCCATCGATTGCAGAAGTTATGCCGAACTGGTTGAACGAAACATGCTTGATGCGCACTCTTAAACAACGCGTTTGACCTACGCAAGTCAATCAGCTACCGGCTCAAAACGCCGTAGCGTTCGGTACTGTGGCTCTTTACCTCGAAGAATCGTTTCAACCACCAAACTTGGAAGATGCCTTCGCCAACCAAGACTCCCATCTGGAAGATACTCCACCACTTGACCCTGCCGTTTGTGCTCTCTGCTGTATTACGATGGGTTCTCTCGCGCAAAACAATGTATGATTGTTCGTCCTTGACTTGAGCAAGGAGGTCAGACAATTGTCGAACTATATCTATTGTAAGCTTCAAATCTTTGGAGAGGAAAGTACATTCAGCTACCTTCTGCCTCTAAGGGGTCCGATGGAGCTTCTGCCTCTGGTACATAGACAATGCCGTGAACATTGAAAGATACATCTTTGCTAGATGCGGACCAATGCTCGTTGCTGAAGCAGTATAGGTATTTGCCGTCATGGTTGGCAGTAAATGAGTGATCTCCATTAGATACAGCTCGTTCGTGTGCCTCGTACCCGTTGGCGGGGTTTTGGATCTACATTTCAAATCCAGTTAGTCCCAGAGCCTTTCTAGAGATACGCCAATATGTTCCAACATGACTCCAGCCTTACTCACCCAAAAGTCGATATCCAAATTGCCAGCACTGCCAAACTCCCTATCTCCAACTTGGAATGTAACCGTCATCTTGTCATCCTTATGAAGTTGTTCGTGAAAGCACTCTCTGCCATGAGCTGCGAGTTGAATGTTGTGAGCAACAGCAGCTCCAAAGAGACTGCCAATTGTCAAAAGGGCTGCGGGGGTTGAGAATCGCATGTTGTTTGTGTGATTAAATAACAAGGTGGATTGGTGAAGTTGGAAGAAGATCCGTGTTATAAACCGTGAGATGAGTCTCGAGTAACTGTTTGACGAGAGAGAAAGAGAGTACGGTGCGAATAATTCACCAGATCTTGTTGTACTAATAAGGAAATGTAATGTAATTGATTCACAATCAAAGAGTGGTGAGATTGATTGATTGATTGCTTCGTATTATTCTCCCTTTTTCACAAGTAGACCATCAATTGATCTCAATATCGCCAGCTCCCCTTTCTCAGATAACCTTGGAATCCAAATCAAATCCAATTATTGCCAGATCGTTCAATCGATAAAAAGCACCGCAGCCTTAAAAATCTGGAACGATAAACTTATTAGGGACTCTGATAGGCTAGAGTAATCACTTTAGCGTCAAATTTCCGAAAGAACAGAGAATCACCGCCCGCCGCTGTCCTTCTAAAGTTCTCTCAGTCTCACTCACCACCTTCCCAAGCACATCCACCCCATCTTTTTGTTCATTCCAAAAACCATCTCGCTAATAACTTCAATCCCATCTCCACTCGGTCATTCTATTGATCTCATTAATCAAAAGGGAAATTTGTAAGTACGATGTTATTCCATTCCAGTTATATCTTCATCTATCCAGATAGCCTTCTTGGTAGCCCCTTGAAAGTGTGGCAAGTCTTCTTCAACGGCGGCGCAGCGCGTGCCCATTCACCGATACAATCCATTCCCAAAAAGAACTTCCTTCCAGAAAGATGCCAGAAACGCAGGTGTCCTTTGTCCAGAACGGCAGCCTATTCTATATTCGATCAAGGATCTCACACCGACAAGTGGCTCCACCAAGAAACTGTCCTTTTAATTCATGGTCATATAAACAAGTTGCATCTATCGCGCAGTCGCTAATATCTGTGCTTCCCGATTAGAATCATTTTCCAAGCACAGCACCAAATCCATATCCACCCTCATACACAATTGTTAAGCCGCAATCATGGGTTTGACATTCTCGAAGTTATTTGATCGTCTCTGGGGAAAGAAGGAGATGAGAATCTTGATGGTCGGTTTGGATGCTGCTGGTAAAACTACAATTCTGTATAAGCTCAAGCTTGGTGAAATCGTCACAACTATCCCAACCATCGGTATGTATCCCTTCATCGATTCTCTTATCATTGGCAAACCGAGAGATCACCATTAACTTTTGTCTTGTAGGTTTCAACGTCGAGACTGTCGAGTACAAGAATATTCAATTTACCGTGTGGGATGTTGGTGGACAAGATAAGATCAGACCTCTGTGGAGACATTACTTTCAAAACACCCAGGGTATCATTTTCGTTGTAGACAGCAACGATCGTGATCGTGTGGTCGAGGCTCGTGAGGAATTGCAGAGAATGTTGAACGAGGACGAGCTCAGAGATGCCATCCTTTTGGTCTTTGCCAACAAACAAGATTTGCCAGTCAGTACATTGAGACTCGTCATTTGAAAACGATGACTAACGTATGTCTTTAGAACGCCATGAATGCCGCAGAAATCACAGATAAATTGGGTCTCCACAGCTTGAGACAACGCGCCTGGGTATGTATATTGAGTAGCTACAAAGGATCTATCGCTAACATGTCTTCAGTACATTCAATCTACTTGCGCTACATCTGGAGATGGTCTTTACGAGGGATTGGAATGGCTCGCAACGACTCTCCGCAAGACTGGTCACAACTAAGTACAACATCGATCCTCAACCTTTATACCACGATTGTGTTTGCAAGATACTACAAAACCAATCAAAACGTTCATATCTCCACCGCTCCTCCAAATTGGTCATTGGTGCATCTCTCAAACTTATTCTTGTGTCTTCAGCGGTCCACATCAATGAGAGGCGCAAGGGTGGTAAATGTATGATGATTTAAGCTCTTACGTCTTCTTATGGCTAGGAATCTCGTTTCAGCTATGATTCCACGGGGCTTCCTCTTTGTCTTTTTTTGCGTGCGTTTTTCTGGTGTCATCCATCTTCTACGTTCTGTTTCTTGCCATCTCTTGTGTGCAGCATGGTATAGAAAAAGCAGAAGTTAGATGGAAGATCAAGGTAGTCTAGTCCGGAATTGATCTCACATTAGAAAATAATTTTTGATAATATTGATGTTACAAATGCCATTTGCATAGAGTTTAGTAACCCTTGTCGTGTATGCTTTCTGTCTATGGAATGATTTCAACATAAAGTGAGTGTAGTTCCGAGTCATTCAAGTCGAAGATTATGTATGAGACTTTGCTTGGAAACCTGGATTTGCATGGCTGATATCTGAGAGTCGGATGGTATTCAGAGGCCGTTCGAATGGCAAAAGGCCCAAGCAAGTTCCTTTGTAGTAGCACGTTGGACGCCACGATTCGTTGGATGATGTGGGGCTGAAGGCATGACTCGGGTAAATGAGAATCTGGGGTCGTGAGAATCACACGTTACGATACGGTTCTGGGAGGATTTTGGAGTGATACTTGATTTCTTGGTGCGCGCTCTCTTGCGTCGTTTGGAACTTTGGATGGGTTGGTGCTGGGTAGGTAGGTGGGTAGGTGGGTATTGAAGATGGTTACCTGTTTGCGAGTGAGTGAGTGAGTGAGTGAGTGAGTGAGTGAGTGAGTGAGTGAGTGAGTGAGTGAGTCATCTTCTGATACCTAGGTATTGAGGGCTGGGTGTGATATTGGTATGGAATATCTATGTTTGTGACTCCTATTATGCTTACTTGTCGTGTCGTTGGCGCTGTCATTGTAGGTAGAGAGATACACGAGTATGAGAGTAATATTGTGGATAACGAGATACACGTGGACCATCTCGAATGCGTTATTGTCTTGCAGTGGGAATGCTGTGTCCGTATTATTAGATTGTATCTGTGGCCTGTCGGTGGTGCGTAGTCGGATATGGTATATTAGTTGATGTGAGAAGTGGGAAGTGAGAAGCTTAATCGATTTTATTTTGTTTTACTGTGTGTGATGTACTGCGGTATATGTAGTTTTTGGAGAGAGGTTTGTGCGGGTTTGCTCTCGTTCGTAGGTACATATACATATACGTACCTGTCGTTTTAGGAGCGGCTGGTGCTCTTTGATGCATATAGTAAGAGAGGATGCTCAGCTAAACATCCTTACATACCCATATCGACTCATCTGCAATAAGAAAATGGCAATAAATGATTGTGATGATGATACTAACGTACATAGGAATAGGAATTATCAAACAAGATTAATTTCTTCAGATTCATCAACTATGTGTCTTCGCAATCCGCAGTCACAACACAACGCATAGCTCACAATCCCCTATCTTAGCGAACATCTTCCAACACGTCTTAAAATTCCGTTTCGAAGAATTGCTGTTTCTAGAGGGTGTATTTGATGAAGCTCTTGAAACTTTTGAGTTCTTAGGTACAGGGTATGGAATGTCTCATGTATTGAGTAGAATGGCTAGTCTCCTGTAAAGTGTCCATTTCGGGTACGCACTTGCGTTAGTAGGGAGGCGGGAGAAGCTCTTTCTGTACTTATCACTTATATGAATGGCTTCGTATCATGTTTCCCAATATCCCGCAATACATACATTAAGAGCTTGAGGCAGAGGAGTTCACTCCAGGATCGTCACAGTAGGTCAGTCTCCAGTGAATGTAGACGAAATTCATGAATTGAAATAATTTAATAGAATTTCAAAAGTACTGTCTGTATGTAGAAAGCAATGACATCAATCAAAAAGTCAATGAAATTCTACCAAATGATTGGAGCCAATACCATCCAAAGTTAAAATTGTAATGGACCGAGTATATCGACCCAGTGAACACTTCAAAACAGAATTTCAAAGGTAGCAATCCCAAATTTCTATATTATTTCGTCTAATACCTAGCTACATATCCTTTTGCTCTCCTACTGGGCTCATCAACTTACCCTTCTCGATAGCGCTTCTTACGTTATCAATACACCAGACCTCCATCTTGGTTTGGGTCTCCACAGTCCACTTTTGACAAAATGTTAGTTTCAATATGATTTAAAACTCGAGTAAGGAGGACCTGTAACTTACTGTTCCCATGTGTGGTACCAACATGACATGTGGGTTGTCAATCAATCCTTGATGAACCTTGGGCTCCTCTTCGAAAACGTCTAGACCTGCTGACCAAACTTGACCAGATTCGAGTGCCTTTACTAGGGCATCTTCATTCATGACTGCACCTCTAGCAGTATTGGTGATAACGACACCCTTCTTCATCTTCTTGAATTCCTCGGTGGAGATAATGTGACGAGTGTTTTTCTATTATTCTGTTAACAGGGAACTTTTGAGTGGTGCTTGAAGTGAAACTTACGTTCAAAGGTAAGTTCAAGGACAAAACATCACTGGTAGCCAACAACTCATCGAAGCTGACGTATTTAGCACCTCCACTCAATTCTTCCGAAAGCTTTGTACGGTTGTGATATTGTACAGACATGCCGAAAGCAGTTGCCTTCTTCATGAGGTTTCGCCCGATACCACCCATTCCTAAGATACCGAGAACTTTTCCTTGAGGGTCGTGACCAAGAGGGGGTGCTGGGGAGCCCTTCCAGTGGTTCTTTCGTAGAGCCATCATTGCTATTGGATGTTAATAATAATATTCTGGGTGTGGTCAGATTGAATACGAACAGGTATTGAATCCTCTCAATGCTCCCAAAATGAGAAACATATTGGTATCGGCAGTAGCATCATCAACGGCAGTTGGAACGTTAGAAACACGGATATCGTGTTTAGTGCATGCATGTACATCAATTTGGTCATATCCAGCTCCTAAGGCCACGTATTAGCCTCGCCATTTTCTCTGGTATTCGAAGATCCTTTTTATTACCATTGTGAGCAATGAACTTCAAACCCTTTGGTAGTACACTGATTAATTCCTCATCAATCAAACCTGTGATGGAGACACTGGTGAAAGTTCTGTACACAGCCACGACTTTATCGTAGACGCCATTTTTACACTCTTCTATGAATTCTTGACGGGATCGTGCCTTGGGTTCGATGAGTTCACCAATGTTGGAAAGTTCGCTCCATTCCTTTTTGGCACTATTAAAAGGATATCTCAATTAGAAAGGATTCTACGATGGGAAACTGCAATGTGGCTTACTGGTCAATCTCGCCTAGCAAAAGAATCTGAGGTTTGCTCATTGTGAAAATGGAAGATGTTTGGGTAGGATAAGAAAGAATGGAGGGGTGAAAGTTAAGAGGTATCTTGTGGTGGGGTAAATAGCTGCCCCTCCTTAATGATGATGATGATGATGATGATGATGATGATGAGACTGGACGTAGATTGCTTCCGATAAGACTTCTGAATTGTCGAAGGTAAGGAAGAAGATACTTCATAGAAGATCTGGAGATACTACGATGACTAGACTTTATACGATAGAAGAGAACAAGTAAGATGTACTTAAATAATTGATGCACTAGGTACAAGTAGACTCGTAGACCTGGTGGACTAAGAAATAAAGCTTGAACTTATGATACTTGTGGATACGTCCTACCTACCTGTCTTCGTACCTAGTACCTACTTATTACTTACCTTGGTATTTGAATTGAGAGCGACTTCGGGCCAGTGACAGAATTCAAGGATACATACTCGTTCTCGTACCAATTACCTAGTATCTAGTATCTAGTATCTACCTTTGGTGGGGGTTGAGGGGAGAGAAACGTGGAGGTCAACAAGTTTAAACAAGGGCATCAAGTCAATTTAATTACTAAAAACAGCAATGAAATTGCCCCCCTCGAGCCCCTTCTCTATCTAAATTTCCATAAGAAGGTATATTTTCCCCCAATCATTTGGCTTCGTGATTGACTAAGAAGCTAAGAAATGTGTCATAATGGAGATTGTTCGGAATGCCGTTGACACCCGAGTCACATTACAATCATCAGTATCCATGGATTGATAAATTGGGGAAAGTTACGAGATTACTAATAGTACCAGGTAGTCAAGTTGCACATTTGTGGATCCATTGTTGTAGATCCCCAACAATTGAGATCATATTTCAGAACTATTTCATGCCGATTTTTAATATGTTTGAAATGAATGGTTGAGTAGGTATATCAAGAACTTTTCCATCCCATTTTTTGGATTCCCAATACCTGTTAGTTCAGTCCAACTGCCGTGCGTATATCATAATCATACATATATAACATTGATCTTCTCCAAAGATATCTGTCAAATTTGGTCTTTCAGATCTAAAATGTCTTGGTAACTTCGACAAATTGTCTCCATTGCCTGTAGGCCTCGCCACTCTTAATAGCCCATCGAGCTCTTCTTACGCCTTCCTTCCATCTTCCCCCACCAGGTCCTCTCTCAGTGATAACCTTTCCATCATCCCCGTGGCCCATATCACTAGTATCTGCATCACAAATACCCGAGACGACAAACAAGGCTGCAGTGTTCATGAGAACAAATTCCAGGATTGGGTCATTGTCTGGTAATTTGTCTTGAAGTAGATTCATTAAAATTGCGGCATTCTCATGAGGTTCCTTCCCTGGTGAAACGTCCTTCAGGTCATGTGATGGAAGTCCAAAATCAGCAGCACAAATTGTGAAGCTCTCAATTTTCACATCATCATCAGAAGATTCCATTAATCTCCAGCAGAATGTCCGTCCTGCACAACTGATTTCATCGAGGTCTTCTTCTCCACAAACAACCATGGCCTTTTTGGCACCGCTCATCTTAAGGGCATCTGCAAAGACAGGCCCAATATCTCGTCGAGCAACTCCCAAAAGTCGGGCTTCAATGCTGCACTCGACGGGATTGGCAAGGGGGCCCATCAGGTTGAAGATTGTTCTCCAACCGAGCTCCCTTCGGATAGGAGCAACATATTTCATACCAGGATGGAAGACGGGTGCGAAAAGAAAAGCGTAATTACTTTTTTCGTAAACTTTAGTGATAGTTTCAGGTGTCACCGCTGATAAGTTTGGTGCCGAAGGTAAAGTACAGCTGAGGAGATCTGCTGATCCTGACTTTGAAGTAGATGCTCTATTTCCATGCTTACTTAGAAGTAATAAGGATGAAGCCAAAATAGAGGATGTGGTTGAAATGTTGAAAGTGTGATGCGAATCTCCTCCAGTACCAACGATATCGCACTAGACATGCATCAGAAAATGAATCCAAATCGATTTCAACATAATTCCCTGTGATAACATACCAATCCTCCCTTATAGCCACCTTCTGATCTCCCAACAGCCGCGACAACTTTGTCTAGAGCTTCTTTGTCAACTGGTGAAGCAGCTTCTCTCATAGCTTCGGCGCATTTTGCAAGAACATCTGCTTTTCGATCCCATCCAGTAAAATGCAAACATGTGAGTAAAGCACCTGTTTGGACGGGAGATAATGAATCCGTGAAAATGTGTGAGATTGCTGAAGCAATTTCTGATGCCGTGACATTATTCTCTCCAGGTGAAGGCCACAGTCGTTTGAGTAGGGGCGTGATCGAAATGTCCCTAGGTGAAGGTGCGTATGCATTGTGCTCCGTTGGAGCAGCCATGACTACTTTTTTTATTTTAACAAAGACTTGTGAAACTCAATTTGACTGTCACAGGAAGTTAAATATTCTTTTCAATATTCTTTGTAACACTCGGGTCCCGGCTAAGGTAGAAGATACCCTTTCATTTTGAGTCACCGCAATGAACTTTCATTGTTCGCCTTATACGTAAGGCAGCATAAAGAAGCGCGCTAGTCCTCTTTAGAATTTCTCAAGCTCGTCCATCTAAATTATATGCCCGCATACATTTGTCCAACAAGTCTTTTTCACAGGTATGTACAGCCAATTGTGTCACATAAATGATACTAGCGATTGTTCAGACTAATCGATATTCATAGAATGCGTCCACGAATACATACGCCGTCAAAGGCAATAGCCTCCATCCTCCGATGTAAAAGGACTCCCCTCCGAAATCGACAATATGCCACCGCGGCAGCAGCGTTCACGCCAGCTGCTTCGCACGAGCAAATGACTAAAGCATCTCATCCCGTATCTCGCTTTCCCTCAACCCAACCACCATCCTACAAACCTCCCGAGTTCCGCAAATCTCAACTCCTTAGAAAATATGCTTCACTACTTCGCTCAACACCCCTCATGCTCCTCTTCCAACACAATAACCTCAAAGCTATGGAGTGGGTAGCCATCCGGCGCGAACTCGCTATTGCCCTCCGCAAAGTTGATGCAGCCCGCGAGGCAGAAGGCCAGCCCCACCTCAATCTCGCAGATGGTATCAAACTCGAAATCGTACAAACAGGAATTCTCGCCGCCGCTCTCCACATCGTCGAATTCTATAAACCTGATTCCCAAGTTTCCAAGTTAGATCCCACAGATCCAGCAACGCCTTCTTCTGCGACTTTACCAATTGTAAATGCAAAGGGCGATGGGTTGACACATACTCTTTCGAGCGCGGCTCATGAAGCTATTTCGGATAGGAAAATTAGGAATGCCCATGATCTGTCACCGTTATTGGCTGGTCCAGTTGTACTTCTAACATTCCCTGGTGTCTCGCCGCAACATATGAAGACGGCTTTGACCATTTTGTCACCCAGCGCTCCATTGTTCCCTGCTCCTAAAAAGAGGGCGAATCCAGGGTGGCACGATCCTACAGTTCAAAGTGGGTTACAAAAGTTATTGTTACTAGGAGCGAGAGTAGAGGGTAAAGTGTTTGACGTTGATGGTACCAAATGGGTTGGAAGCATTGAGGGCGGTCTGGACGGTTTACGAGGCCAATTGGTGGCTATGTTACAAGGTATTGGTGGTGGGATTACAAATACTTTGGAGAGCGCTGGAAAGAGTCTATACTTCACCGTTGAAGGTAGAAGGTCGATGCTGGAAGATGAAGCAAAGGGACTTTCTGAGGAAACTCCTAAGGAGTAAATCCAATCAAATAATGAATAAGCATGTAACGGAATGTATTATATCTGTAGAAACGGAATATTGTTTTATGGACCATTTGCATCGTAAAGCTTGAAATCATAACCATCTCTGGTCTATTTCTCGTCTATGAAGGGGGATCTGAAGGACGGTCTTTCTCTCTAAGCTCCAGCTTTGCATTCATTGCCAAGATACACCTCACCAAGTCCCAGTCCCCATCTGTTCCGACCCAATCACAAACCACAATTCCCGTACTACCATCACCTATACTTGCACTATCTGGCTGCTCACTGGAAGTTGTTTCACTATGCTTTCTGCATAGATAATCAACGATCACGGGGTTAACCTTTTCTGCAATCTTGTCTGGCCAACAGTTCGCTCTCCAAAAGTTCGAGGCACTCAAGAAATTCATGAAGAATGGTTGTTTTGCCGATTCGGCGCTAGCGACACCCAAATCTTCAGACAGCACGGCAATGGTTTTAGCAGCTCTTTCGAGCTGATCAGTGGAATAACCAATCTTCTTCTCGATATTCGAAGACTCGGCAACCTCGTAGAAGTCTTGTACTCGGATTTCTCCACTTGTACATACACCGTCTGCACAGTTGTCTGGCCAACTTTCTGCGTCGATATATAAACCTGTTCCATCGTTCTCGCCTTTTAAGGAGTCGTCTAGGCCGAAGCGACGTATAACAACAATCTTCCCTCGAACTTCTCCTAGAGCTGGAATGCGATTGCCCGTGAACCAGCGAGTCGAATCCTGAGTATAATGATGGTTGAGAATTTGACTAAGCTGTTGATCCGTAGCCTTTCCAACACCTTCTCTTTTTATAGACATTATGACTGTTTCCGTAGGATGCGCATCCAGAAATACTTTCACATGGTTGACCAAATCTCGAAAGTATTTGTGGCCCGTAAGGGAAACGGGAAAAGCGCTATGAACGAGAATTAGACCCTCTGCAGCAGGATCATTGGGATCCTGTGGTTGAACTCGTATATCGAGGAAACGAATACCATTATTGAGTTGCTCCTTCACACTGACAGCTTGACAGCGTACGGAAGGTAATGCGGCGTGATACGTTGGGGAATTATGTGTACCGGGTATACTGAGAGCGGCTAAGGGAGTTTCGTCTTTGAGATTGGACATCCATGATGCTAATTTGGCTGAGGAGAAGATTGCGAGAAAATGGTACTTGGGTAGATATACACCTGTAAATTCGTAGGTGGGATTGTGCGAGAGAGGTGTGAGAACGGTTGAGCGATGCAATGGGGTTGGGGTATCAATTCGGTATCGTTCGCCATTTGTCTCGAATGTCAATCGCAGGATTTGGTTTCCTTGGGGTTCCACATCTGTAACTTTGGTTTCAAAAGGAGCAATTGGTATTGAAACATCTTGACGACTGAAGCTTTCGGCTTTTTCTGCTAATTGTGGTGAGGTTGGAGTGCTGTTAAGGTACATAAACCCAGTAAGACTTCTGGTTATTCTGGTGATATTTACCCCGCTAGCTTTCCCTTCTGCAGATTCAAATCGTTCCAGTGATTTTAATTCGAGTGGAGTCGTAGAGAGATTTCGAATTGTTAGTGCTGGTGATGCCATGATTGTGCAGGTGTAAATCAAGTGTCTAATTGTGTAGTTGGAATATTGTTATTTTATAATATGATGATTCCATTCTAAGGTTTGTCTGGTTAGTAGAGATGGATTCATGAGATACTCGAAAGATATCAAGCTCTGGGTGAAGTATAATGTATCTTAGACAATATTTAGCGATAGTCAAGGAAAGAGAGAACGCTGTAATAGCTTGATGTCTAATTGCATTTTGAGCAACAACGAGACCAAGTTTGATATGTTTTAGAGGTTTCGAGGTTGATTTGGATATCAAAGATTAACTATGAATAGCAATTGGTAGATGGTCGGGTAGCGCATGATTATGGCTTAGATAAGTTATTTATTTGAGATATATTGTTAAAATTGTCCCCTTCACATATCAATCAAGCAACAAGCAACAAGCAAGTTGGCGCAGTGGAAGCGCGCCGGGCTCATAACCCGGAGGTCCCCAGATCGAAACTGGGACTTGCTAGCTCATTCTTTTGCATTTTTTGAGTCTCAGATCCCTCCTTGAAATTTTCCTGTGTCCTTAATGCTACTGGCATGTTCGAAATAACTTTTGCTAAAAATTGCAATAATAAGTTGTAGTTTGTGATCTAACAACCTACAACTACCTAGGTATGGCCCGTGCACACTCTGTCCAATCAACCAAAGTTAAAGACTTCAAGATATCATTTGTTTTTGATCAAGGCTATTACAAGCCAACACAACCATTATTCAATGGCCTTGTATTTGATTGATCCAAATCCGTCTCCCACATACACGCTCCCGTTAGGTACTTAGTAAGTTTTGATAAAGCATATTTGGCTCAAGTCAGTCTACTTCAGCTGTGGATCATAGAGCCCACAAAAGAGCCGCCGCTTGTGGGTTTTGTGGGGGTTGATTTTTGTACGTGATTTTGCTCAAGTGAGTAAACAACAAGTTCACTTTACACTCTTACCTTTTGGGAATTATGATACAGAGACTATGTATTATAATTCCTTCCAGTAGTGAAAAGTGTCTGATAGAATTCAAGAGAGTGTTTCCATTGGGATGTAGTTTGTCTCACTGAAGAGAAAGCCTTCAGAGTTGGATGAGATCCAATCAGTGAAAGAAAGTGTCTAACTTCCCATATTTTTGAGAGGTGAACTGTTTTACTGTTGGATTTGCGTTATTTGCTATTGTGTTTCATCTCACAATCAGACCGAACATGATCGATCTTTGAACTAAAGTCATGCATATATCACACTCAGGTTCATAAAACATAGTAATGGTAACTATCTAAAAACAACTCGGTGACTTTGGAGAGTTCAACGAGATCGGTAAGTATGCGTCTGTCGGAAACATTGATTGTCGCCAAGTGAAGCGATACCTATGACTTGGTTTCGAAATGAAATAGTAACGCATCATGTCCAACCTGATATGGATGTTGCGCGAATCGAAAGATATGAGCTAAGGCAAGTAACTCATTGATGTCGTGAGTGAATTCGACTGGTGAGACTCCATGGATCATAATTAGTTTTGATCAGGTCTTCACAATCATAACAATCAATACAGCCATCATAGTGGCCAAGGTGCTCATCCGAGATATCATATTCGGAGTCAGAATCTTCCAATAGCTCCCGATATGCTTGCCAGCTCAGTGCCTTCCATTGTCTTTCGTTCTTAATATTGGCATCGAACAAATGTTCTGTTCTCCAGCGTTGAGTTTCCTCTTGCTCTGCATATTCAGGGTCTACTCTAGCGTAGGGTTTAACATCCTTGATAGCTTCGACTGATCGTTGTGGTCCTTTTAGATACTGTCGTGCAAAGTCAGTAAGGTGCACAATCGGATACCCGCACGCGTTGGCAACCAACCTCTATGACTTCTTTTGCGGTAAGTACAGCAGCATTGATTCAATGTAATTTCTCTCGATGCAACATTTCGTATAGAGACATCACCACATGTCTGACCTTTCAATTCTTTCTCGGAGAGAATCCGAGAACTCTAATGGCTTCGCGTTGAATTGGATGTTCTCTGGGGGTTTCATCGGATCTAAAGTTATTTCCCTTGTGTCTTTTCAATAGCACATTCTGAACATGTGCAAGCGACCTTGTTACCATCAAGATATTGTGAGCCAGTTTCTGAGAACCGAATGCTAGCTTCATGACAGACATCAGATATCTTAGTGCACTATCAAGCAAAAGGAGAGGAGGGGGAAATGAGTCAAGAAAGGCTAAAGACTTAAGAAAGAGACTCACTCTCCACTTTTATAGAGCAACTCTCAATCCATATTGCCGATCGCACATGTCTATAGTTGAGTTCCAATGTGTTTTTCTCCAAAAGTTAGTTTGAGGTCTGATGGAATGTACTTTTCGAGTTCTGAACTTGGATTCCATATACAGACAGATAAAATGGAAAAGTGGAGAGCAAGATAATGATTGGTAACCTATCAAACTTTCATATCTACCTGACCCCCGCCCGCAGGCATGTATCCGGTCGAAGATATATCTACAGCCAGAGTATGTTAGATATCACATAATTCATATCACATGGATATCAGCATGAAAGTTAAATTGTTTGAATTGGCTGTAAAAGATAGATGTCAATGGTAAGTGCAAGAGTCTCAAGTATAATGTTGCAGTAACCTGCATTTTCGCCCCCCCTATTTGTATCCGATAAAGTATAAGGAGTTTTTGGGCAAAGATTTTGCATCCAGTAGAATCAGGAACAAGTCCGGAGTGACCAGTTCAGAGGCTATGCTTGAATGAATGTACCCTCGATAGCCGCAGCCGCTGATAAAATATGAAATTTGCTCTGATAACCCTGTTGAAACTTTTGGATGTGAGCAGGAACGCATTTAGTGACGACGAAAATAAATTCGCAGTGAAAAAATTGTACGCCTTTCAAGACAGAGGGTGATGCATCGATCGATGGTGATAAAATACGAAGATCAGTAACGTAATCGAATTCGAGTGCAAACCACGCTGTTCCGACGGGGAAAGGACATGACTATAGCACGTTAGTATTGTATTAGATACAGAAGATCTAGATCTTACTAACAGGGAATAGAAAGCCGTACTATAATAAAGGCTATTCTTCTGCCTCGTCTATGGACATTAATTGCAATAACTTTTCTTCTCGTCTTTTTTCAGACTCTAAACGCCACTGTTCACGTTTAGCTGCCATCTCTACCTCGGTCTTCTGGTATGAAGCTTCCCACTATATGCCAGTCAGATGTATGTAAGATTACAGTATGGGGGATCAAAGTGCCGATTTACCTCGAGTATCTCTTCCGTCGTAAGGTAAGGGACACTGCTCATATCAGTATCCCCCACGAGCATGTCTGTGACTACATCATAGGTCGATCGACGGTTCAGGATCCAGTGTTCGGGCAACGCAAATGGTTCGATAGCGAGCAAAGGAGGTGCCACATATTCCAAGGGTTTGGCAATTAAACCATCAATTATTTCCTTTTGCTCCTGCTGTAACGGTTGGTCAGTCCACGGATTTTGCTGAGGCTTGAGTGTGTTGCTGACGTATACGCACCAAGCTGTGTAGACCCTCGAGCATACACTTTCGAAGGATTTTTCCCTTAGTTGCCAAAGTGGCTACCACAGTGGCTGGTGTCTCAGAGCGAAGACAACAGTCGTTTGAAATAAAAATAGTAAGGAATCCTGCATCTTTAGATTCCTCACGTTGAAGATATGCCAAATCGGGTTTCTGGCTATGTATTTTGTTAGACGATTGATGCTGATGACATCTTGTGAATTTTGATATTGCCTTCCCGAGAAGTATACTTTGAGAGCCAGGTAGACATACCTTCTTGTGAGGGATGGGGTATCGGATCCAGAGTCGGACTCGCTATCGGGTGTCATGAATTCTTGAAAGCTCTAAAGACGCTTAGGGGTTGAACCGGAGTGATTGTTGGAAGATATGGCAGCGGCAGGTCTCTTGGAAACTGCTGATGCTGAAGAGGACATGGTTAATGGCGGGACTTTAAATTTGATAAAAGTGTGGTTTGGCTTGATTTGAAGGTCACCAGCTGTTGTGGATTTCGCGAATTGAGATATACCTGATTGAGTGGCTTGATGGCGGTGACCAAGAAAGGCAGATCGAGATCTTAGATACAGTCAGCCATCTTGAAGTTGGTGAACTGTTGAACTAGATCGGAAAGGTGTAGTCGTGGTGGGAAATTGGAGAATTCGAGGATATTGTTTTCTCGGTGTAGAAAGTAATGGAGAAGGGTTTGAAAGAGAGTAAGAAATTGGAAGGGAAGAGAATTCTTGAATGGACCTCTATCCAACTTTAAGTGAGGTACCTACCGAAAGCAAATAGGTAGTGAATCTGACAATACTGGAGTGCTTTGTGACCTTCCATTTTCTTCAAGCTTCACTTTTATGCTTTTAACTTTGGGGAATGTTTTCTCAAGTTCATACCCGAAGAGATTCATTTTGAATCATGGGGCAATTGAACTTACAAAACTGAAACACATATGAACAGATTGGCCCGAAAAAAGCTCCATTGACCACATATTGCTGCTTTCATTGTCCATGGTCATTATTCTCGAATGTAACAGACACCAACAATATCAAGTCTGACATCAATGAACTAGAACGCACATAAGTATCATGTAGCAGTTCTTTTTCAGTAAATTGGGTTGTAGCCTTGGAAATACATCCGAAAGGTGACTTTGCTTGAGAAGCCGGTAAATCATAAAAGACTACAACGAATGCATGATCGAGCGTATTTCGGGTATTTGGAGTAAGAATATATCAAGTTCGACCCGAGAGGAGAGCGGCGACCGATGAAGGTTGATGCAATAAGTATTTTCATCACCAAGGCAGTAGAAATATTATACTGTTTAGATTGGCTTCGGAGTGATAAAATTTGAAGACTATTTAACAGCGTGCTTTGATTATTGCCAAGCGAAGCGCAGATGATTATACCGTAGAACAGCAAGTGAACGGCAGAACAGACAGTGCTTTTATGAATCTTAAAACTTTAACTAAACACCAGGAGATTCCTAGAAAAGAGAACCAATGTCTATCGCCATTACTCCAGCTACTTCGGCGGTATCAGCCTCCCACCAGCGACCAATCTTACCGACCCTAAACATCTCCTCCATTGCAAACTTTGCAGCCCAAGTTTGCATGGTTCGTTGAGTTGCTGCAAGACCAGTATATTTGCCGATTTCTACACCACATCCCCTTGAGGCAATAGACGTAACGAAATAAGGAAACAAGTAACGCTTCTTGCGATCCGCTAGCATCATCTTAGCTGCATTAGCGACCACTCTTGTCTTTTCGGCATTCTTTATAATCTGCTTCTGGGCACTTTGCTCATCCATATTGACTGCGTTGAACAACTGTTGAATAGTTGCGACTGTTTCTATAGCTCTTCGTGGAACCATTTCCTCCAAACTCTCACGAAGCTCCCCAATTCTCGTAGAAGGAAGAGCGTCAAATTTTTGAATCAAACGGTCCAGCGTAGCAATCACGGCTTTCGACTGTTCAATGACCAAGTCTTGAGCTTCAATCACCTTATCCTGCAACCAGTCAGAGAGGCTCAACCAAAATTCATTTTAATCTGCTACAGATAGAACATTTACCTACCAACTTTTTATATTTGGTGACAAAAGCAGACGCGATAGTCACGCGAGCTCTCCGAGATTCTTCCTGGCTATGCTTGGCAAACAAAGTTTCGTTGTATCTGGCTGCTATATCGACTGCATCCACGAGCCTCATATGTGCGACCGGAAATTTGATTACGAGCGACTTTTTTGCTGGAGGCGCTTCCAAACTATATGTGTGACGTTAGACGTAGAAGACAAAATAGAACAGGCGGGAACAAACGCGACAGGGGAGAGAGAAGACATACTTGTCAGATCCAGACCGCTTGATACAAATTGAGGACATGGTGTAGTTAGATGGGATTAGGTCGAATTGAGTGCCGGCAGAAAAAGATAACTCCAAAGAAATTGATTTATGGATAAAAGCGATCTTGTTTGTGCCTACTTCAAGAAAAAATAGAGGCGGCAACGGACAGTGCTAGGAGATAGTTGTTACCGTCAGATCGTGAGCGAAGTGAAATTTCCGAGACAAGAATAGGCGATGCCGTAGTATATACAACACCTAGAAGTTTGTGGAAGGTCGGAATTCTAATCTAACTATCGTCTTTGTGACTGGAGAGCAAAGCAAATTGAAAGCAAGATCGACATTCGTAGGAGTTGTGGAAGTTGAAGAAAGAAGACATGGTCACAATGTCGAATGCGATACTTAAATACTACTCTCTTCGAAACTAAGCGAGACAATGAGGATAAAGGTGAGTTCGAGATCCAACTAAATTCACTCGAACAGCTACCTACATCGTAGTTGTGTGAAACTGAAGCAGATAGGCTCGAGACATACTATGAAATTCTATACCAAAGGCAATCATGTGCATTGAGTATATTTTGCCAAACTCTTGATTGGTTCGGTCTGCGGTTCGACAATCAGAACCTTTCAATGTCTACTCTAATTGAATGATTCAATGATTTGAAATCTCGAATCCACTTTGAACAATGCACTACTTTCAAACATGGAGAGCTTGCATCCAGTCTACCAGTTTGGAACATCTCTGACAAGTATTGGAGCCAGAATCGGCCCCTCGGGAAGGTTGCTCTGAATATATACATTAGAACATAGATTTTTAGCCATTGAAACCCCTGACGTATGCTCTGATGAACAAATTGACAATGGAAACCATGCGTTTTTACTGCTTGAAGCGCAAATAGAGAGGATAAATATCAGCTTCATTCACTTCAGCAAAGAGGTGCATGCTAAAATTTAGGCATGTGAGGTCCTCGCTAGAAGAGTGGTTACCTCTGTCAATCTAAAGATGAGTCGAAATCGAGGTGCCAATCTTTGCTTTCGATACAGGCAATACTGATTACCCTGTACAAGCGAAAAGGTGAATTTGTGAATTGGAAAAGGATTAGATGCTTGCTGCTCATACAAAACCCGCTTTCCGATGGCTAGTCCGAACGATGGCAGCAGATGTCCCTTTGTTGGTGGAGAGCTTACTACCTCACCACCTCCTTCGTGATCACTCTATAGAGCCTGGAAGCATCTAGACTACTGTAATCGACGACGTAACTGTCACTGTTAACTTTGCCAATGGGAGAAGTTTGTTTCGTACTAAACATGCCGGATTTGGGACTAAGTTGACGCGCATTCGAGATATTGCGCTCCACGCTCATTGGGCTACAGCAAGGCATCGTCGCAGACTAACTGGAACTAGTAACCATTCAATGAACAAGTCCTTCATCCGAAAGCCTGTGGCTTCAAAAAATGATAGTCTTAGTTCAATTTTGAAATTTTTGTTGTTAAACTATTGATGCGAAGATAGCCCATAGATCAAATCGCTTCGCGAAACTTTCACCGAGCTTCGACTCTCAAGACTTGCGACTATCACCACATCAACCCCCACCCGAGCTGTCCCATAAACAAACCACCACAGATCGTACCAACCATGGAGCAAAGACAAAATATCGAAGGCGCAACTGCTCCATTTCCTACCAATCCCGAAGAATTCGATTCCGACGATCGCATATCATTTTCGAAGCTCGACCAGAAATACCTACTTGTGCAAGACGATGGCACAGAATTCGAATTCGATGATGCGATCAAACGATGGATACCGGTGTTAGATGAGGCATTATTGGAAGAACAGCAGAAAGCATATAAAGTATCTGGAGTAGATGAGAGTGAGCCGGTTGATGCTATAAAGAGGAAAAGGAAGCAGGAGTATGTCAATGGCGAGGATGTAAGTCAATTTTAGGCTTCATATTCGAGATATATTTGTGATTGTGCACCCGTTCTACCAGCATTTTACAGCGTTTCATATCTACTTATCTCAGTTTGGTATGCGATACCTAGCTGGAGCTTATGCAATTATCTGTATCTTTTATTTCATTCATTATCTTCGATGCTGAGTCTACCTAGGAGGGTGGCCGAATTGTGAAAGCCCCAAAGAAAACCAAAAAACCTCTACCACCACGAGCAAACACCGCAGTTTATGTTACTGGTTTGCCATCCGATGTTACTGTTGAGGAAGTTCACGAAGTCTTTTCACGAAAGTGCGGTGTTATCGCTGAAGAAATCGACAGCGGAAAACCGAGAATTAAGCTTTATACAGACGAGAAAGGAGAATTCAAGGGCGATGCTCTTATCGTATTTTTCAAGGCACCATCTGTGCAGATGGCCATAATGCTACTGGATGATACAGATTTTAGGATAGATGGAGGCACATCTAAAGAGAGAATCAAGATGCGGGTCCAGGCTGCAGAAGCGAGCTACAAGAAGGTTCAACAAACAGACGCAGATGGAAATGAGAAAGAGAAGCCTAAGACCAGTATGAAGGACAAGCAGAAGATTATCAAAAAGACGCAGAAATTAGATGCGCGACTGGCAGATTGGAGCGATGACGAGCCATCGGCCCTTGTGGAAACCAGCTCGAAGTGGGATAAAGTCGTTATATTGAAACATATGTTCACTTTGAAGGAGCTAGAAGAAGACCCAGCTGCAATGTTGGATATCAAAGAAGATATTCGAGATGAGTGTGGCAAGCTCGGCGAGGTAACGAATGTGGTTCTATACGATTTGGAGGAAGACGGAGTTGCAAGTGTAAGATTTGCAAACGCGGAATCAGCGAAAGCATGCGCTAAGTTGATGAATGGGCGAAAATTTGATGGTCAAGAAGTCGAAGCTTATATTACGGATGGAAAGGAGCATTTCAAAAAATCGAAGAAGAAAGCAGATGATGAGGATCATGGAGAGTCAGAATCAGACTGATCAGGCTGGAAGTGAGACGCATAGGTAAATCGAGTATGATTATTCTAGTGAGATAAATCTCATGATATTGGCTACCAGTATTGGTATTGATATAAACAGAGAATTTGGTATGAACAGAGAGTTGGATGCAGATTTATATTAATACTAATGATATCTTACTTGACCAATATCTTCTTATCTGACTTGCAAACGCTCTCGACTTTTCTATCAGAAATTCATCCCAAGCTTCCGGAGCTTCCCCTGTTCCCGTCCTAGCCGTTCTTCTAGAATAACCCCTAACTGCCCTGCCAGCTATCACTGGAGAACCCGATTGGTTACCAGATCCACATTAAATCTTCGTACCTGGCTTGCGAAATTATCAAATTTATTGCCAGACCGACATAAGAGTAAACACTCCTTTTTATTCTTCACAAGAAGTGAAACATCCATTCACTCAATTCACAAATTCCCATCATGAAGCTCCTCACCTACGGAGCCATCTTTGGTCTCCTCACTGCCCTCTACTACTTCTTAGATGCACGTCTTGAGTCCTTTTACATCTTTACACCGACTCAACTTCATGATCTCTCCCAGCGCGCCATTGGTGCTCATGGTAATGACACCGCTCAGGTTGTGAAGTTCATTGTGGATGAATTGAGTGAGAAGCACCCCGGTGGCTACATCAATTTGGATCAGGAATGGATTTTCAATAATGCTGGCGGGGCTATGGGTGCTATGTATATTATTCATGCTAGTAAGTTCCCAATGAGGTCACGAGTCTCAGGTCGGGATCGTTTGGAGAGACGAGTGTGCTAATTCGCTTCATAGGTATTACGGAATATTTGATTATCTTTGGTTTGTTCACCCATGGGTAGATTCGGAGTCTGAGTGGGGATACTGACTGTGCATAGGAACAACAATCGGTACTGAAGGACATACCGGCCGTCATACAGCCGATGACTATTTCCACATCATTCACGGAACTCAACTCGCCTATACCCCTGGTGACTTCGAACCTGAAGTCTATCCCCAAGGAAGTGTTCACCATCTTCGTCGTGGTACTGTTAAGCAGTATAAGATGGATGCGGCTTGTTTCGCTCTCGAGTATGCTAGAGGTTGGATCCCACCTATGTTGGGTTTTGGATTTGCCGATGGTCTTACCAGTACTTTGGACTTCCCAACTTTGTGGAGAACAACTTGGGTCACTGGTAGAGAAATGGTTTTGAACCTCGCCAGATTCAAGCTGTGAAAAGCTTTGTTTCCATTGAGAGCACTATTTGAAGGTTATTGAAGATGAAAGGATAATTTATAGAGCTCTCGTGAGCAAGTACATAGCACTTCTTTGTCTGTAGATACCTATCTCTTGTAATAATTTGACATGCGCGTCATGAATTAACATGATCAAGCATAGCGTCTTTTGGAAATAGTTTCACCTACTATATTTATTCTGCAACTTTCGTGATAATCTTCGGCTTATTGAAGAGTCATGTATTATCAATCAAAGTTGTATATGTCCACTCCAAACTCCCCGTAGAAACTCCTCACAACATTCAGTCAGAATCCTCGTCAGATCCATAATCTACCAGTCCTAGTGCTTTGTTGGATGGGGGAGGTGATGGCTTTTTGGCTGCCACAGGCTTGGGTGCTACCTTTGCAGGCTTTGAGTCCGAGATTTTGGCTGAATCTTTAGAAGCCGGTGGCTTAGTATTCGTTGCAATTGAGTCAAAATCGTCTTTCGCAGGTTTCGTTGACATTTCTTTGGTAGATGTGGAGGATGAAGCTTGTTCTGCGGAAGATGAAGCTCTCCTAACTTTGACTCCTTTCAGTACTTCCTTATCCTTCGTACGCTTGCGCTTTCGACCCGTAGTGCCCCATTCATCCCCCCGCACCGGCGAACCATCTTGTGTTTGTGCTCCATCATCATCTGCTGCTCTCGCCTTCTTGTCTGCATCTTCTTGTTGTCTTCTAAATAGCTCTAGCCCCTCCGCAGTTTCTTTTCGCACTCTATCTTCCTCAGCCCTCGTACTTTCTAGAACAGAATCCAAGAACTCGATTTCATCTTCATCTAATGATCGGAATTGATTCTTGAGTTTATTGGCTTCTTCGAATGCATCTTGTTTGGCAGCTGATTTATTCAACGCACCCCTAAGTGATCAGCCTAAGAAATTAACGTGTGAGCGGGCGCAATGGTCCTAGATGTGTACCTTTATTTGCTTCTAGGATCTCGAACAAGCTCTTTCCATCTTGTTGTCTAGCTTCGATAGCTTTTCGTTGTCTATTAGCCTCGATTTCTTGTTGAGCGGCTAACCATTCATCACTGCGCTCAGTTGGAGCATCTGCAGTACCACCTGATACAAATCCGGAGGACATTGCGGTTTTGTTTGTATGCGCACGAATGGTACAGAGGCGTTTAGTTTCTAGTTTCTAAGATTCGTGAGATTGCGCCGACAAGGTTTCTCGACATCACATCACGTGTGTTACGCTCCGACTCCCCGCCTTCTCCCCCGCTACGGAGCAATTTCGCACTTTGAGACGGAACTGTACAAAATTTTGAATTGATTCAGATTAAAGAGGTTCTAGAAGTCGATATAGCATTTAGGCTAAAGTCTATTCTCCAATTCAAGCTAGATCCATCTTTAGTCATACAAATACTGAACAGTATCCAATATTTGCCTCTCAAATATGTCAATTGGGAAGGGTTTTCAAGCTATGATGGGGGATTCTGACGTAGGAAATTACTAGGAATAATCTCAAACGGCATTGTAAAACATGATTGGTGCGCATGTCAATCTTCCTTCGGTTCAATAGAGCCTGAAGTGGGATTGCCCCTCCATACTCCACCCTGCGACAGAGAACCTTCTACCAGAGCCCCTCATTGTGCAGCGGATTATCTTTGAATTTCACGTATCGGCAGGTTGAACTTCTTCATATGGAATAGACATAACCCGGAGGTAAAGTATTTTGTGGATATTCTATAGGTTGTCGTCATCCGGTATCAAATAATCCTCATGCATGGCTTCCTGGGTCAAGTAAAGGTATAAGTATTCACTTTGTCCTCGCAACTCATTATCTTTCTTCTCTTATTCCTTCTATTGCACACCTAAAACATCTAACAAACTTACAAACCGTAAAAATGTCTGCAAATAACGTTACCTCGTAAGTTCTTCCATTCCGACCCCTTGATAGGAATTCACGTCAAAAGCAGAAGTCTGCGCAGACTGGCGACTGTCACATCCCATTTCAAACCAGTTCGTAACATAAGCTCACACACTATTCCTCTATCCAGAAAGACCTTCACCCTCAACACCGGTGCTAAGATTCCAGCTATTGGTCTCGGCACATGGCAATCACCACCAGGTGAAGTTGAGAAGGCTGTAGAGATTGCCCTTCGCAAAGGTTACAGACACATTGATACAGCTGTAAGTCGATGAACATATTGTGGCATCAGATCCAATTCTGATAGATTATTAGCTTGCATACGGAAACGAATCAGAAGTTGGCCAAGGTATCAAGGCGTCCGGTGTCCCAAGAGAAGAGATTTGGCTTACTACCAAACTCGACAACCCATGGCACAAGAGAGTTCAGGAAGGTATTGATTCTTCCTTGAAGTCTCTTGGTACCGATTACGTCGACTTATATCTCATGCATTGGCCATCATCCACCGACCCAGATGACTTAAAGAAGCACTACCCAGATTGGGACTTCATCAAGACATGGCACGAAATGCAAAAGCTTCCTGCCACTGGCAAAGTAAAGAACATTGGTGTATCGAACTTTGGTATTAGAAACTTGGAGAAGCTCCTCAGCGACCCAGGAACCACCGTATGTCCAAGCTCCGATGTTTGTCTATTATTCATTGATTCTAATTTATCATGTAGATTGTCCCAGCCGTTAACCAAATCGAGCTCCACCCAAACAACCCATCCCCAAAGCTCGTTGCATACAACACATCAAAGGGTATCCACAGCACCGGTTACTCTTGTCTCGGTAGCACAAACTCGCCTTTGTACAAGGACCAGACCTTATTGTCCCTCGCCGAAGCAAAGGGCAAGACTCCACAACAAGTACTTCTTGCCTGGGGTATCCAAAAGGGATGGTCTGTCATTCCAAAATCCGTCAACAAGGAACGTGTTGAGAAGAACTACGAGCTTGATGGTTGGGAATTGACCAGCGAGGAAGTTGAGAAATTAGACAACCTGAAAGATAGATTCAAGGTCTGTGGAGATGCCTGGTTACCTATCAAGGTTTTCTTCGGCGATGATGAGTAAAGGATTTAATTGTATATAATTTAGAGATACCATGAAGTAATTGAATATAGAGCTTCTCATGATCATTTCGTAGCTTGTGCTTTTGAAAACATGTCTTGCAATAACCTGACATTGTTGCCCATAATGACTCTAGACTTTGGGTCGAATCATGTATATTACGCCATGAATAGATGCATTTGAAATTTTTGGATGGTTTACTATCGTGAAACGAATAAATGATTGATGGTCTTCAAAGAGAGGTTGGGGATACTCTGATAAAGAAGCAAGTTGCATCATAGCCTCGGTAAAATAAATTCCATCCCCAAGCTCCTTCATCCACAATTGAGCATCATCAACTTGAGTCTACACAATATGCATATCACGAGAACATCATTATAGCCCTTTTGTAGGGGCTTCTCAATCATCATGACTTGTCCGTTTTGCAGCATAGCATCCAATTACCCACCATCCTCATCTCTCGCAAACCCAGATCTTACCACTCCATCCGCGTTCGTAGTCCTCAGCACACCTCAGTGCATGGCATTTCTCGATATTATGCCCCTTTCCCCCGGACATCTACTAGTCACAACTCGTAATCACAACGAAAAATTATCGGACGTGAGTGAAGAAGAAGCGCGAGAGTTAGGCGAATGGCTCCCGAGACTATCTCGAGTGTTAGCTAAGGTCACCGGTGTGTGGGACTGGAATATTGTTCAAAACAACGGTGAGTTACCCCGGGATTCGTGTCTTGGAAGTTCCGCCGCATCTAGGGTTGTAGCTAGGTCTATTATAGATATCTGGTGGAACAATGGAATGGAGAAATCGTTGCTAATGATGGCGATAAATATAGGAGCTGCTGCAGCGCAAGTGGTACCGCATGTACACTTTCACATTATTCCGAGACCGGGGCTAACTCCCGAGTTACGCAATCGATCTTTTACGATGTTTGGGAGGGGGCAGAGGAGCGAATTGGATGAAGATGAAGCTAAGGTTTTAGCGGCGCAGTTGAGGGAGGAATTGGGAAGAGAGATGGAGGGGATTGGGAAGGGCAAACTATAGAAGGCGTTTATCGAATATACCAAGCATATATGCGTGATTGAGATAGGAAATTGAGATATCCGTACCTGGGAGCCGTTTATTAATGTATTAGAGCAAAAGATCGATTGGAGGAGAAAGTAAATTGTACAATAAATATGGGACGCACAGGAACGGTATGCATCTACCGGTTTGACACAATACAAAGGTTCTCCTAGGCTCTGAAGTTTTGGAACGTACTTGGATCTTGGGCTATGATAATCGCAATACTTGGGGAGGGTGGCATGAGTAAGACACCGAGTGCACCGAAAAGGGAGCAACTAAGCAGCCACTAGTCAACAAGAACAAAGGACAGCTCACGGTACTTAACCATGTCTCTCTTCTCTCTCCAACTATCAAACATCAAGGACAAGTGTTCATCAACAATCGATGCATGTTTGGTCTTTTAAAAGTTTCTTGGACTTCGAAACACTTGGCCCCTCTTGCTGTTTCCAAAATGACTTCTATTTTGCACCTGCCATAGTTTTGCTGACGTTTTCATCTTTTAAGTTTCCACATGGTTTATCAATGACTGCATTCTTTTCAGGGGCTTTTGGACACGAACCTGAGCATTGATTTGAAGAGACATTTGGCACTTCTCCGTCTTCGTACACAGAAGTCCTAAAATTCTCCCAACTCATAATCTCAACACATGCGTCTCAGCGGTCTGCAAGCCATTTTCCATCCACATGATTCTCCATGTCTGAACTTCTGGTTTTCCTTGCCCACGGAAATTCTCTTGAACCTTGGATTAGACCTCAAAGCATCATTTGACAGATTGAATGATGTTTATTTGAAGACAGTTTAGAAGACAACACCGCTAATCTGCCCACATTCCAGCTATTCACTGTCGTATCTGTGGCAAAGGAGTCGAGGTTCTCCAGGTTTTAGGAGTTTCCAAGAACAAAAACATTGGCGAAAGCCAAGAGCTGTGTATATTGTCGGCTCAAGTGTATTATTGTAAAGGAGAATGCTTTGAGATGATTTTGGAAAGTTATCATGCCCAAGAGTCTTGGGACTGATTTCTTTTCGAATATAGCCAAGTTCCAGGAATGCGGAGAATTAGGAATGGAACACAAGTCAACAACAGACGACACCGCTAGATGGACAGTGAATGACAGCTATCTCTTAAGTTTATTATGATTATGAATCTATCATGGATGTCACTTCAAGCCATCATTCGACCGGGGTCCTTATTATGCTCATCTGGGCATTGTAGGTAGGTAATTTTGTTTGTCATTTCATTTTGAGAGGCATGGAAACATGTTGATATTAAGAAGCCGGTGCGCCATGTGGCGTCCACATACCGGAAATTTACTTTGAAAACTCATTTGAGTGAAGAATTGGAGACTCAAGAGTCATAAATTCATTCTTTAATAAGACTCATCAATATCTTCATCAAGGTAGTGGCGAGTATCTGGGGCCCCAGGTTCCTATGGTGATTTGCACTTTCCTACACCACATGATAAGATGCAGAAAAAGAAAGAGCAACTTCAAATATCATTACAATCACATAATCCCGTACAACTATCAAGCTTCACGGACTGTAAGACATCCGCGTCGCAGTCAAGTAATACAAATCTCAGAATTCAATACGTCATTAACAGATCCAATCACCATTCAAATCACTCTCAATTTTCTCTATATTTCCTCCTCAATCTCCCCCAAAAAGTGAATTGAAGGTCCGATTAAGGTTCCTGCCTCATCTTGTTTTTAATATTGAGTCTCGATTGAGTGATATAACCGAGTAATTTCTTCAAGAGACGGGACGCTATTATCAAAATCCACGTGGAAATATTTTGGGAATATAAACAAACATTCAACCGCCTTCCCCTCCTCCTCTTCTACCAAAACATTACAATCTTTCAACCAGACCTTAGATCTCTTTTCTGTACCCACAGTCTTTACCAAGCTCTACTTCTAGTGCTTGATACCTAGAAATTTAATTTTATAATTCTTCCTCGTTTCTTTGGACGTGCCATTCACACCTCACATCCTATCGATCTACCAGAGACACATAACTCAAGTTTTTACAATATCGCCAAGATGCGTTTGCAATTTGCTTTGGCTATGCTACTTGCCTTGACGGTAACAGCATCGCCAATCACTGACTTTCTCAATCGCCTCAAGCGCCAAATCATCCAAACCTACGATGTCACCGAAGTCATCTATAATTCCAATGGGAAGCCAGTTGCAACAACCATCCTTCATGTCACCACTACCGTCTATCCTTCCACCACATTGGCACCAGTCCCAACTGCGACTCCCACAGACTATGTTTCGACTGCTTTGTATCACCACAATATTCATCGCGCCAATCACTCTGTTCCTCTCCTTAAGTGGGACACAAAGCTTGTTGCATCCGCTCAAGTTCTTGCTGCAACATGCAAGTGGGGTCACAACATGTGAGTACTTTTCTGGGTCACCTCTGTCTTACCCGCACTAACTCTTCTTTAGGAATATTAATGGCGGTGGATATGGACAAAACATTGCTGCATACGGTTCCACCAATGCTAAGGCTCTTGGTGCCAACAAGGAGATGGCTGTCGCTGCCACAAACATGTGGTACAATGGGGAACAACCAACCTACCTTCCTTCTTACTATGGTAAGAACAACCCAGATTTGACCACCTTTGAAGATTGGGGTCATTTCACTCAGATGGTTTGGCTTGGTACCAATTCTGTTGGCTGTGCAACCCAACTTTGTCAACCGATGGACATTTGGCCAAGTATGCCAGCTTGGTATACTGTCTGCAATTATTCTCCACCAGGTTTGTTCCTCATCTTACTTCTCAATCTATATCTTTTCACTAATGTTTCCCCTTCAGGAAATATGGGCGGTCAATACGGCGTCAATGTCTTCCCGCCCCTTCGTCATCCCTCCGTCAACGTTATCAACGCTTGAGCAATTAAGCAGCGATGATCTGCACCCCGAGACAAATTTTCGACTTTTCATAATCGACAACTCAGTGCGATCATTTCACTTCTCACGAGACCATGACAAACTTTCCAGTGTTTCACGAAGGAGCACCGTTTACGTTTTTACATGAATTTACGTCTCCATTTCCATTTTCGCTTTTCGCACAAAAGCAATTACTTGCCTCGTCACCTTTTCGTCGACCGTTCCTATTTTAAAGAGCTTTTTTTTTGCTTGTCGTCTTTTCATCGCGTCATTTGAAACAAACTCTAATCTATTTCTTCATCAACCTTATTGCAAAAGCTTCTAACAAAACAACATCTGGCATGTTTCGCTTGTTGCGTTTCATATTTGGGTCTCTAGACGTCCAAGTCTCCACCTATATTGTTGCCTACGGAATTCTCACAATACTCGGAGACTTACATAGATTTGATAGATAGATTCGATCCGGTTATGATATCTTATCTTTCGTCTCTCTTTTTTTTCTCTTTGCTCTTTGCAATTGGCATATACATCATATTGGGGGCTTGTTTCGTTGGGATTTTGTTTTTGCAGGTACCTTCTTTTCAAAGGTTGGGGGAGGGATGGTAGGACAGGATAGGATGGTTTGGGCTGGGTCCACTGGATGGATGGTTTTATGGATGGAGTTTATGCTTGATATTTGGGGGGATAGGCAAAAGTTCTATGGTCGGAAAATGGGCTCCGCTGAAGCTATTTTTTCTAAATTTCGATTGATTGGACTTTCTTGCTTTCATACTTTTGTTTGACTTGAGATACTACCTGCGATTTGAAGTGACTCGATGCTCTGTTTATGTAGTTGTCGTGGTGTAGTGTAGATATTGGGATCTATACGACATCCATCACATCAAAAGCATCACGTTATTTGTACATCACTCTTTCCGCTACGTGTCACCCACCCTAGGACCTAAGTACCTACCCAAGGAAACCAATTCCATCAACTCCAACAATTCTAGCGAACATAAATCGTACATGTGGCATTGACCTTCAGATCTACGCGCGCAATCTCACCCCGTTACTCCAAACATCTGTTAAACCACTTGTACCTATCTTGTGATTGTTTGTATCGATATTCAAATTCGCAAGGGACATCACATACCCATCGAATGCGGGAACGATAGGCTGCTGCATGCAGTATTACTTCCTTTCGCATCACTTGTGGGGATAATCTCGATATCTGTGATTCGAATTATTTTGTCGAATCACCAATGCGGGAATATAAGCTTCTTTCAAACTAACTCTCGATAGATGCCACGACATATGTAGAGAACACATGTTTGGTGTTCTTATACTATTTCTCTGCGTATGTGACTCGTGTCGTGTTTGTATTTTGTGATGGGTAGGGTGTTATGCGGTGGAGATATGGTGGAGAGAAGTATTGTGATGTGATGCGATGTGATAGAAAATCGATTGGTCGATTATATTATATATATATATAAAACCATCTACTAGCAAAAGACAGAAAAGAGGTAATAGTGTGAATCTAATAGAGTGATAGATATAAAGATACGGTATGGGAGTAAACACACTTTACCCTGCAAATACAAAGAAGCGAAAGAAATCATATTGATATCTTTTTTTCAGACGGAAACAGATATAGTATAGGTAGGTAGTACCCAAAAACCTAAGTAGCACGCAAAATACCCCTCTCTACCGATGAAACCAAAACTCGGATTCGAATTCGCATTTTGTCTGTTATGGGTGAGGATATGTAGCACATTGAGTGACCTATCCAATACCCCTCTAGATCTTGAGCAAGACGATCGTTCTTTATGATGAGAATTCTTAGAAGTGGGGGAAGAATCGTTCCTTGCATTTTTCTTTCTTTCTTTCTTTCGTGCTTGCTTTCTTTCTCACTTCCTCCTTTCCCATGTTTTGGTTAGCCTTGCTTTACTTCCTTCCCACTTACTGTTACCCTCTCTCCCTTCCTCCTTCCTCAAAGATTTCGATTCCAAGATTCCCACGATTCAAACATCCATTACCTCCCAATCCCCCAATATCGAACTATCACTTCCACAACAGCATTCTCAATGAACCACTCACTCACTCATTCGCTCACCCACCAATTACCCACCACCAACTCCACCATCCATCCAATACAAACGCCTTTCAATAAAATTGCAAAGCCGTCAATGGTACTGCAGCACCGCAGAATGAAGTGTAGTGTGGTAACCTTATGGCAAGTACGTATGTTAGTGCATGTGGAGACTTGAAAGCAATAAAAGAGTGGTCATTTGATGTAGGGTAGAGACTGGGGGCCGGTATTTAAGACTTTTGTTCATTATCGATGCCAATATACAGTACCACGCATGAATCATTGTGAACGCAGGGTAGTTTCGCAGAGGTGGATTCAGAGAGAGTGTGTGTCTGTGTGTATTATTCTGGTTTGTCGGCGGGTTGATGCAAGATGTCATTTCAAATCACACACATCTCATGATTAGGGACAGTATACGAATAACCAACTTGGAAGAGAAGATATTGCGTTTATTCATGAATCCTAGAGATTCAAGTCCTATGCATTCATGCCAAAGATAACAGAGCGAAGATATTCCAGTATCATATCCACCAAATCGCTAAAAGATTACTATTTTTTTTCACCATCCATCCGTTCCTTCTATCCATCCACTCTTACCCACAAACATCCATTTTACCACCTATTCTCTCATCTAGAAAGAACACCCTTGACAACTCCCTGGACAGTCTTCCTGCCTTCAATAGCAATCTCTCCGATTCCACTTTCATCCCCACTACCCTGCGCAAGCCAACGCTTCAACAAATCATTGCTTTCCTTGGGTTTAACATCATTTCCTCTTGTACCAACAGTAATATGTGCAACTTCGTTCGTGCATTCCCATCCATCATCGATAATTCTAGCTACGATTGCCATGATACGGTCATCCCATACGATCTACTTCTGTTAGTGGTCATCTTACAAATGATGAAAAGATAGAACCTACTCTCTCCAGCATAACTTGACAGTTGCCAAATCCCGTTCCGGAACTCCATGGATCTTTAGAAACTTGATCCGCGTGTAAATCGCTGTACTTCTGCCACAACACAGGGAATTGCTTGGAGTTAGCTCGATGAATAAGAGTGACGTGAAATTCTGGTTGAACTCGACGCATTCCCTCTAAGGCTCTGTAAAATTTCGCTTTGTTTGAGGATACACGCCCGAAAGCATCATCAAGCGTCTCCTTAATATCATTTCGAGGAAGATCAATGGAGACGTATTCCAATGGTTTCCTCTTCTTTGCAATCTGTGGTTGCTGAGTTTGCTGTAATAAATTTGGGGTCAGCGTTATTCGGTACGTGTACGCTTTCTTTTTTGGGCATTTTCATCATCATCATTATCATCACGTACATTTCTGTTCTCTTTCTGTTGATTCTTATTGTGACTATTAGGCGGTCCACGACCAACTTCATGTCTGAGATCTGGTTTGTAATCGCTCAATGCAAATTGAATTGCCTCATCAAGATCCTCGCTCGTGGGCAAATCGATAAAAAGCTTTGGAAACTGTGCTGAAAGCTGTCCAACAACAGTCTCAAGATTCTCTCGCGAGTCCTTAGTAGGATCCAGTTCGATAGAGGAGTCAAATCCGTCATCTGGTGGTGCAGATATATTTACTGGTTCAAAGCGTTGAATGAAACTTTCCATGATACCAACAACTTTCTTCGTATCCGATGCTGCTTGAAGAGTCTGATGATTGTCGCCGCGGTTAATTACTCGATCTTGAGTAACTTGTCGAACTCTCTCGATGCTTGCTCTATCGTGAACAAAATTCAAGACGACGAGTCGAACATGCGGATGAGTAAGATGTACATCATCAATCAGTTGCTTTCGTTCATGTCTTGAGGCGTTATTTCGATCAGCAAAGACAACAGGCTTTTCTTCGAGCTGCGTCAAAATTTCCTTGGTGAATCGAGGTGGACGACCTTTGCCCGTAATGTTGTCATTCTGAACATGGCCCCAACCAAATAGATGAGTGAGTGCAAGGGCAATAGTTGTCTTTCCACAACCAATTGTTGCAACTGGACATAGAATGACATTATTATGCACTTCATCTGGTGAACCTCCAAGTTGAGAATATTCTTGGCGGATAATATCCGAACCCTTCAGATTAATTTCCTTCAGGAAATCATCTCTCAACTTGATAATACCATGATTATGTGCATACTCTTTCCCCAACTTAGGATCCTCGGCAAGGCGTTTTCGTGCAAACAGAAGGTATTCTTCTGTAATCTTGACATGCTTTCTAAATCGAGCTGGTTTTCCGGAAATCAAGGCCTTTGTACATTCACGCCATTGTCTATACATAAGATATGGCTCTTCAAATTTGTACTTGAAGAACCAATCTGAGTATGACTCGTTTGATCTGGTACGAGCCTTGCAACGAATGACGAAACCTTCGATATCACGTCCTTGATAAGATCCGGTTTCAGCTACTTCATTAAGGAAAGCTTTGGCGACTTGAATATCGTCCATTACCAGGAAATCAGTCTTTTTGAATCCCCATTCGGCTGCAAAAGCCTGAACTTGCTCTCCAGGGTAAGTCATAAACTCTGGCAGGTTGATATTGATACCATGAAGATAAAGACCTGCATCATCTTTACCATAAGCTAAAATATGCTCCTCGAAATCATCATCGCAAAGCTCAGCCACCGCGGTGGCATTTCTCTTTCTAAGCTCTCTGGCGAGATCCTGTCGGGTTTTTCCAATGGCTTGAAGTTGTTTGTCGACCCATCTGTCAGCAGCTTTTGCGTGGCTCATTTCTGGTTTATTTCCTTGGCCGGTAGAATGTTTGCTACAAACCAAGAGAGTGCCATCGTGAAGACCGCTGATAAAGACAATGCATCCATTTTCTTTGAGACTCAATTCATAGGGACCCTTGGTGTTGGCTTCGATTTGGTCCCATTTCGTAGAACTAACCTCTTCCGTATTGAAGAATTTATCATAACCACGGACTGCAACCTCTGGCTGACCCTTTTCATTTTTGCTAGTGAAGAGACCTCGGGCGTATGTAGGTAGATCATGTCGCTTGTAGTCCCAATCTTGAAAACGCCAAGATTCGACCACAATCTTTGCTGGAGATCCATCGACCTGGAAAGGTGTTTTCTTGCAACTAAACCCATGTTTCTTTCCCTTGCCGGCGCTGTCATTGAGATTTCGAAGAAGTGTTTGAACTTCTTCTACATTTTGAGATTTATGAGGAACAACTTTATGTTCAGCCATGGCGACAGAATGTTTTGGTAGATGTGTTAGAGCGGGGTGGTTTGAAAGATTCAAAAACTTTGATGTAATAGTAAATTGGGAAGTTGAATGACCTTTGAGTAAAGTTGAAAGAAGTCTTGGATATAGAAGTTTGTAGACGAATAGCATGTAAGAGAAACTCTTGAATTTTAGGGGAGATTTGCTTGTCTTTTTATCAACATCAAGCAACGGCAATATCCTCTATGTTCCTTCCTTATCCAGCAAAGAGTCACACCGGGGAAATGGATAGGTTACTGGGTAGTCAAATGAAGCTCAAGATATTAAAATCTTGAGAAAAGTAGTAGGCAGAGTGCAAGGCAGGGCAGATACTATACCTTGGTAACGAAAGTAGGATGCTGCTTAGCTCAATACCCAAAGAAGAAAAAGGTCAGGCGAATCCCTTTGATGATTGGATAATTATTAGATTGTCTGGGTACGAGTAGGGCTGAGCATTAAAAAAAAAAGGTGACTGCAACTGCTATGAGCGCTTAGTGGGGTTCTTAGGCTCGGTCATCGGGATATGCGGCCGCTGCACTATAGAAAATCCTCGGAGCCCTCCTACATTAGCCACAAACAGAATAATTTTTGGGAGACAAGCATTGTATATATTGAAACTTCCACTTTACGGTGAAGACATTAACACAATACTGACTCATACTCGAGTATACGATGGCTCCAGCTCAACCCAATCCTTTCCTTCTAGCCGCCGACAATTCTCCAGATCTCCTACCCCTCCTTCGATCGAACCCCGCCTTAGCTTCTGCTCAAGATGAACACGGATATTCTTTAATGCACGCTGCTGCCTCTTACAGTCACTTAGACCTTCTGCGAGCGCTTGTTACCGAGTTCGATGTTAACGTCGACTTGAAAGACGAGGATGGGGAGACAGCATTGTTTGTGGCCGAAACACTAGATTGCGCAAAGCTATTGGTTGAGGAATTACATGCCAACTTTACAATTAGAAGTGCTGAGGATGGGTGTAATGCAAGGGAAAGAATCGAGGCAGAGGGCGACTATCCGGAAGTCGCGGTGTATCTCCGAATCAAGGAACTTGAGGCCGAGGGAGGCCTTCCAGCATCAAGTAGTACAGATGCTATAGTGGCCCACCCCCCACTAGTACCCGAAGGACTGTCGGTCAATATTGGTACAATGAATCCAGATGAAGATGTAGGAGAGGTCATTGATCCCGAGTTTAAGAGACGTATCGATGAACTGGCTGCTCGAGATGATTTCCAAACACCTGCGGGACAAGAGGAATTACGAAAGCTCATTACGGAAGCAATTACAGGCGAAGTAGGAGAGGGACGAGAAGTTCGTCAACGAACAGAATGATTTGCCATCTATTCTACTTCCCACAAAACATAATCGTTAGGGACATCAGGCAACTTTAATACCGTACAGTTCTTGCTCTCGCCGTTCCAGCTATCGCTAAACCCGCCAACATAATACGAAAACCAAGAATTTTTCGGCGCTGCGAGTAGAGCCTGGATAAAAGTATTATGTGCCCATGTGGGGGAAATAAATCCAGTCCATGTGATTTTCACCAACTCCTCCGCTTCGTCTGAACCTATCGGGGGGTCGTAGCGGGACAGAAAGGGGTCGATCTTGTCAGTTGAATTGACTCGTGGACTTTCCAGCGAAATTAATGAAAGCCACTCATGAATTTCGGCGGCGTATTCGCGAAAGTCCTCGTCATAGTTTCTATTTCTCTCTACTGGAGGCTTGAATTTAGGTCTCTTGACTTGATAGTCACTCGATACTTTTGGAATGCATGTTATCTTATTTGGATGATGTAGAGATAATGGGTCAGATGGTAATACTGGCGAAGAGGTTAGTATTGCAGCAAGAGGCGTACATAGATTCCCACCTGTAGCTCCTAGGTCACAGAAAAGCCACGTCACAGGAGTAGTCAATACATTCTTGAATGCATATTCAATCCTTCGGAAACCCTTCTTGCCATGTAACATTGATGATAATCGTAAATTTATCTCAACAACTATGAATTGATTAGCAAATCCATATTCCCAGCCAAAAGAGTACATACTCCACCGAGGTCGATGTTCTCGTTTCCCCTTAATTCCCTCCGGCTTGCCTACCAAACCTGATCTTTCATAGGTTTCCTTATCCAAATGCAAGGTTAAAATTCCTATGACAACGTCAGTAGGTTCTGCGCAGTAGATCGTCCAGAACTTGAGACCCTACCTTCGCTCAGGGAAAACACATTATCAACCTCCATCATTCCCTTCGAAAGCATCATAACATTCCCTTAGAACTCGTAAGCAAAAAGTAACCATCCAGTCCTCTCACGTGCCTCACCTTTTTTAATATACTCCGTAAAAAACTCTCCCTCCAACAATGCACTCAATGGAAGCACAACCCGACTATAAACCGGACTATTCTCCCCCAAGACTCCATCCATCCCGTTCTTCATAATATCATACAATTCCTTGGGTAATATCATCTCAACCTTGTTGATAAATCTATGACCCAAGATATTCACAAAGGGTTTCCGTTTTACCGGAGGTTGTTTAGGGTCGAGATGACCCATGGTCCCATGCGTCACGTAGCATTTCTGCTCGTGTTTGGTATCTTTTGGGAAGCTCAACATTATCGATGTGTGTGAAAGCTTGGTTGGAAGAGGTAGATGGATAGACGCACTTTTGAGGATTTATTTTGATAGAGCGATTTTGGGTTTAGCGTGGATGGCATGAGCTCGAATGCGCTAATCTTAACCCTTGTAAGGATTTTTGGAGGGGTATTTTTTCGCGGGAGTCATGGTGAAAAATATTGTGAATGCATTATTGAAAATTACATACAGGCATTGTTTTTATAGCTGCGCAAAGGAGTCTTCTTGTGCGCTAAATTTAATTCAAGGCTTGATCAGAGACTTTTGTCCATAATTCTCAAAGACAACCTTTCCAATTCACGAGACTCCGAAACGTTGACGCCGATTTGTTTGTTCGTGCTTCCCTGAGACTTTCCACACCAGTGTAGTGGTTTGCAGGAGCGACACGAGAAGAGATTATACTCGAACGCCTGATTCTGTAGGAGGATCAGACAACATCAAAAGATCAAAATGAAGTGTTTAATAAGATTCACACAAACGCACGAGACGTTTCGTCTTGCCGAGATCCAGGCTTTAGCAGAGCTCGAGAATATTCCTTTACAGGTTGAATACTATGTTTCGAATGTAAGTGAAATCTATCGTCAAAATCTCATCATTGCCGTCAATTCTAAGTGATTGATAGTCACCTTTTTGTTTCGCAGACGTCCCGTCTGCAGAGGCCGCTGCTCGATTGGTTAAGAGAAGCATTCTTTCGAAAGCCATCTACGAAGTTTGGGGCACGGGTTCTACGTATGAAATTCTTCATGATGATGTAAAGACTTCTACCAAAGATCTATGGTCGCTTTACAAAACCTGCTCTTTCAAATTCACCGTGGATTGTTTTCAGAATACAAGACCTACCACCGAACAGCGAGCACTCATTAATGAATTCCGATATTTGGAATTCGAGGGTCCCATCAAAATGAAAGGAGCAGATGAAGAATTTTGTATCTTGGAAGAATGGCAACTTGACGCTGCTGCCAATGGTATCACGACACCTTCGCAAGTAACCTTTGGTCGATTTCTCGGCGCTAGCGAAAGAGATATCGTAGGAAAATACGATCTCAAAAAGAGGAAGTATATCAGTACCACTTCTATGGATTCCGAGCTCGCGTTGGTCACCGCCAACATCACACTAGCAGCCCCGGCAAAATTATTCTACGATCCATTTGTTGGAACAGGTAGTTTCCCGGTTGCATGTGCACATTTCGGTGCTCTTGCTTTTGGAAGCGATATCGATGGGCGAAGTATCCGAGGCAAGGAAACGCGAAACTTACATTCGAATTTTGTACAATACGGTCTCACGAATCAGTTTGGAGACACGTTCGTGGCCGATCTCACAAATACTCCATTAAGATGCGCGAGACTGTTCGATGGGATATTATGTGATCCTCCCTATGGTGTAAGAGAAGGTTTAAAAGTACTCGGAAATAGGGACCCGACTAAACCTAAAGTCCCTATTATGTTAGAAGGCGAAACACAACCTCATCACCTGTATAGATACCTTTTTTTGTGATGATTCTCCTAGAATGATGCTAACCAGGAATCTAGACAAGATGCCTACATCCCACCCAAAAAGCCATACTCCTTCCTAGCCATGCTAGACGATATTCTTGATTTCGCAGCCATCTCTCTCGTAGATAACGGTCGTCTATCCTTCTGGATGCCAACTGCAAATGATGAAGATCAAGAAATCAAAATCCCAACACACCCTTGTTTACAGATTACAAGTGTTTGCACACAAGCTTTTAACAAATGTAAGTAACTCTCATGCAGGTAGTAAACAGCGGAGTGCTAATAAAGAGATAGGGTCAAGAAGACTTATTACATATAAGAGAATACCGGATTCCATGGTAGATCCCGAACAAATCCGTGAGAGGACAGCTAATGGGACGGGTGTTACTGCTGATGAACTGAATCCGTTTAGAAAGGGATATTTCCAGGGATTCAAATCAGCGTTCAGAGATACGCCGAAATAAGAATAAGAACTGATTATACATCTATTGAGTACTCTTCCGTGTGCAGCTTATTAGTCCTCAAATCTCTTGTGAATCTTTTCATGTGTGAGTATGCTTCGAGAATCGGTTCGTGATTTACGCATTTTTATTCACGAGCAAATTCCCAAATACAATGACATTCAATATGATGCTTCAGTCAAAGTTATAATAGAAGATTAATGAAGATATATTAAAAGATAACCGACTCGAACCATTTGCTAATCACGGCATCAAATTACATTCAATTCCACCATTCGTCTCGTCTCATCTCCATCTCCACCCCCCTCTCACCTACAAAACCCACACCAACCCCACCGCGCCCATCACCACCCCACCCAACACCCCCGTAATCTGGGCCGCTCCACCCTTACTCGAGCTCTCAATCGGACTCGGCGTCCCGCCACCATTCTTCCCCGTCTCCGTCGTCTTCGCGCTCGTCTCCGTAGTTTTCGCTTCCGTCTCCGTCTCGGTCGTCGCCGTGGCACTCAATTTCTTCGTCGTGACCGTACTATTTCCGCTCGCGATCGTCAGGCCTCCGGAGCCCGTGATCGGGACGAGGGTGGCGGTCGTCCCGTTGATGATGCCGGTGAGGAAACCGGTGATGCTTGGGGCTGCGGGGGCGGAGGTGGTAGCGGGGGCGGATGCGCCGGATAAGAGGGCTTCGAGAGAGAAGATGCTGGCTTTTGCGGGGCCGGCGCTGACGATGTAGCTTTGAGCGGCGGGGGAGAGAGAAGTGTACCAAGCGGGGATGGAAGTGAGGAATTCTTGTTCGAGTTGTGCGAAGCCCGAGGGAGAAGATTGGAGAGCGAGGACGGAGGTGGGGATGCTGGTTAGTTGGGCGGCGAGGGATGGGTTGGGATGGAGGGCGGAAGAAAGAGAGGAGATGCTGGAGGCTATTGCGGAGCTATGGGCGAGGAGGATTTAGTTCTTTGGTGCTAGGATGGGGAGCGAAGGGGGGTGTGGAGAAAGAAGAATTGAGAAAAAAGGAGACCAGAACACATACGTATCAACATCCTGCCGTCTATCCAACTGCGAGCTCGCAAGCACCACAGCGCAAAGACTAGCCGTCGTCAAAAGATTGATATACATGATGTAATTACTGAACGAACGTGATATTCGATATATCTATCTATCGAATATACTAAAAGAATGCCTAGAAACTTTTCGTGTTCGCAAGTGAAAGGTAGATTTTTGAGAAAGGAAGAGCAGAAAAGAATAGAAATACACGAAGACATATCAAAACAAACCCCTCAATCTCCACATTCGGAATATTGGTACAAGCCCCTGATAATAAACACGAACTGTGTATTACTCTTCAACACTGTGTATCACCCAATCGCGGAAATAGAAATGTCTTATTTGGTCTTGCTTTTGTTGTGATACGTTCTTTGACCAATTGTTGCTTGGGGCGAAAGGGAATATGTAGTGATTGTTTGCAGTTTCATGCAGATCTACAGGTACGGGTCGGGTGTGCGAGTTACTGCTTGGAGAGAAAATGAAGAACGTTCAATATGGATGGTGCGTTTATTTTGCTTCAAAGCTCGGGATTTGGGACACAACTTTGTGTTATATTGATGAGTATCTGCATGAGGGGATGTATGAGAACACATTTTCTACCACTGATTCTCAAATCTGACAGGGTGTGAAACATGGGCGTTGTGGCTGAAATATTGATTTTTCTAAATCCAGCCATGTATATTCCCGAGGCAACGATGTAGGACGGGAAGTAGGAAACTTGTGAGCCGTTGATGAAAAGTGATATTACTATATTACGTGTGGTATCTTTCCTCCTTAATTCTTCTTTCCATCTAGATCTGAATAGAAGTTGTATCCGAATCCTTTACTAGCATCATTGAATCTCAACTTTTTATCCAAACCATCCAACTTCTTCAAGTCTTCAGCATCAAGTTTGAAGTCTCCCTCCAAGTTAGACTTGATGCGTGAAGGTGTCTTGGACTTGGGGATAACCGAGTGACCATGTGCAATACCCCAAGCTAAAGCTACTTGTGCTCCAGACTTGTTATATTTTTTGCCGATCTCAACGATAGTTGGATCATCCTGAAAGCATGTTAGTAAAGCATGGAATAATTTGAATCGAATCAATCTTACCATCAACTTGCCGATACCCTTCCCGGCATCATAAATTTCATTTTGATTTCCAAATGGAGAATATTGTGTGATGTGAATACCTTTGCTCTTGTTGAATTCACAGAATTCAGTTTGTTGCAACCATGGGTGGAGTTCCAATTGATGAGCTGCAGGAACCACCGAAGTCTCCTTCAACAGATGTTCCAACTCCCCTCTTGAAAAATTAGAAATCCCAATAGCCTTGGTCTTTCCAGTATCAATGAGCTTTTCCATAGCCTTGTATGTATCAACGTAGGAGATATCTGCTGTCTGCATCTTTCCATCCACCTTTGGCATTAATTCATCGCCTGGCTTGAATGCAGATGGCCAATGCATCAAGAATAAATCCACATAATCCAAATCCAAATCTTTTAATGAAGCATCAAGAGCTGCTTCGACGTCTTCTGGCTTATGCTTGTTGTTCCATAGTTTAGTGGTAATGAAGAGTTCGGAACGAGGAACGCCAGATTTCTTGATTGCAGCTCCGCATGCTGGTTCAGTACCGTAAACTCTAGCCTAGAAGAGACGTTGGGTTAGCATATTTTCCATGGATCGGTAATGAATCTTAAGATGATAGATAATACGTACAGTATCGATGTGTCTATATCCCGCCTTCAATGCCTCTGTGACTGCATCCTCTTGAGAATCCTTATCCTGCCAGGTACCGAACCCAATAGCAGGAATGGTAGCTCCAGTGTTAAGCTTGTGAGAAGTGATTGAGGCCATGGCTCGTCTTTGAAATTGTGAAGAAAGTTGTGATAATCGTGCTGAAGATCTGAATGAAGATTGAAGAGTTCGAGAGAACATTATTGATATGAAGGAAGAATATTAAATAGAAATTCACCTACAAGTCTACTCGTATATTTCCTTGAGATCACTTACCTCATTATTCATGTCTTTGCCTCCACCAAAGCTGTGACGTAGATGTTTATTCAATTGTAGAGATGATTAATGGGAAACCACTGTCGATCCTATGACGTTTTGGCTTTTCTCACAGGTCTCCAACTGCAGAAGGTGGTATTCAAGTCAACATGCCTGCGGAGTGATTCCCCGCTCTTGAAGAAAGGTCCGAATTCGGCACGGATTAATATTTTTGCGGACGAAGCTCGAAGCGAATGGTTTCAGTCCTCACTTGACCATGAGAGGAAGGACTGACTGGGGACCAATTGATATAGCTACATACTACGTAGGTAAAGGTAGATATTCGAAATTGCAGGCTCTCCAGAAAGAGAAACCAGAAGCTCATTAAAAGCAATTTGAATTGGACAAACTCCACAAGGATTCGAAAAGGTTCATCATAGAAACCGTCATTGATGCCATGAGTATAACCGAATCGAAACTTTCAATAACTTCACCATGAACTACAATGGTTGAAGTTATTCTTTCAACTCCTTTACTCTCCTCTCCTTTCCGTGGCCATTACTTACTATTGCACTTATTGTTGATATCACTCCATCAATAGACCAAATATACCAACGGCGCCTAATGTATTTTAGATACATCATTTCTAGTATCAGACGCCAAGCTAAATATATAACTCGGACTCCTTGTCGTCATCACCACGTTTCACTACCTACGATTCTTCTCCATCTTCAACAAACCCAACCTCAAATCTCGTGTCCCGCACCAAGCTCACAACGTGATCTTCAAGATTTCCACTGATATTCATCCATCAGTGTTTCATCATCGTCCGATGGTCCATCTCGCTTCTAAATAAGATTTAGACCTCGCAAGACTCGAGAGTCGAGAAGAAGGGAAGATATGTCGGTATCACCATTACAAGTGTAAAACGTCAAAGCTCATTCCTGGCTCCCGAGTACTTCTCTCTCTCTCTCTCTCTCTCTCTCTCCCCCCCTTGCACACACGAAATATCGGATCTGTATATCCTGAGCCATGAACCAAATCTTCCCATTGGAAGCTTATCTTTTTCCTCTTTCTTTTTTCAACCCAAAATAAAATATGATCATGAATATCTTCTTGCACTGCCTGCCGCGATTGTTTCGAGTTCAATGCTTGGATCGTTTTATACGAGAATTTCGAAAGCTTGGTATGAGATGTCAGAAAGGGTACTTTATATAAGTAGGAAATTCTTTGGTTTAATCTTTCTTTCGTTTCTGTTATCCTTCTTCCATTGGTCAATTGTTACTCTCGTTGAAACGTGATCTATACGTTCGTTTTTCTCTCTGTCTTTTTATTGTTATATCACCTATTTAACATAATTTAAAAAGGATTCCAAATAAGGGTGAATCAAATTAATCCTCAAACGCGAACTCCAAATGCATCCCCTTCAAGTCACTTCGGTCATTCTCCTTGGCCTCATATCCAACACCTCAGCTCGCTTCTCCAAAGCTCCCATCTTCCCCCGAGCAATATCCCCAAATAACACCTGTGGATTCAACGGTACCGCAGGAGGAGGAGCAGATGGCTACACTTGCCCCTCAAGCCTTCCTTGTTGTTCCTCCAATGGATTTTGCGGTAAAACAGATGATTATTGTCTAAGTAGTAATGGCTGTCAATCCCAGTTTGGAAATTGTACAAGTCCAGTTGCTATTACCGGAAGTAAAGTAGTGAGTACGGATGAGACATGTGGGATCATCGGGGCTGGGACTCAGGGATATAGCTGTCCGACTGGAGAATGTTGTTCTAACAAGTAAGAAACCATGAAATATCCGCTATAGAGTTGGAGGACTTGGTGTTAATAAATCCCCAGTGGATATTGTGGAACTACATCGGATTATTGCTCTGCTACTTCAGGTTGTCAATCAGCGTATGGAGTGTGTAACAATGCTACAAATACCACTACATCAACAAGTACAGCAGGCACCGGCACAGATAGTCTCTGCGGACCAGGCGTTGGTACTTGTGCGTCAGACGAATGTTGTTCTCTTGCTGGATATTGTGGTACCACCGAAGGTACTTCCCCTCACTCAACACATGCACATACCCATACACATTTCTCTAACCACCCCCAGAATACTGTACCGCCCCCGACTGTCAATTTGACTACGGACCCGCCTGCGACGCCAACGCAATTCCCACCGGCGCAAACACTTCCACCATCGCTCGCCCAGTCCTAGGATCCGTCCTCTACGGCAGCGACGGTATCTACGACTGTGCCACGCCCGGCGACATGGCTCTCACCTTCGACGACGGTCCCTACATCTATACCTCTCACATTCTCGATCTCCTAGCCCAATACAACGCCTCCGCAACATTTTTCATCACCGGTAACAACAACGGTAAAGGTCACATCGACAACACTTCGCTCGAATGGCCTGCGCTCATCAAACGCATGTACGACAATGGACATCAAGTCGCATCGCACACATGGAGCCATCCCGATCTCTGCAACATCACCAGCGCACAGCGCAAAAACGAAATGTGGAAGAACGAAATGGCATTGAGGAATGTGATTGGTGTTATCCCCACATACATGAGACCACCCTATTCAAGCTGCACCGCAGAATGCGGATGTGAAGCCGATATGGAAGAATTGGGATATCACATTACCTATTTCGTACGTCACCCCCCCTTCTCTCCCCCCCTCTTCCCTCTCTACACCCAAACTAACTAACACTCCCCTCCCCCTCTAGTCCCTCGACACACAAGACTACCTCAACGACTCCCCCACTCTAATTCACAACGCACAAACCATCTTCTCCAACGCCCTCAACGCCTCGAATCCCGGCACCGACCACCCTCTCGTCATCTCCCACGATATCCACAATCAGACGTCGCAGGTGCTCGTCGAGTATATGTTGAAGATGGCGGTGGCGAAGGGGTATAGACCCGTGACGGTGGGGACGTGTTTGGGCGATGAGAAGGCGAATTGGTATCGTACGGATACGGCGTCGACTTTGGGGTAGGAGGGGAGAGGAGAGGGGAGGACAGGAGAGCAGATGAGAAAGAGATGGGAAAGCAGGGGCAGGGGAAGCGAGGGTACTGGAATTGAGCGTCTGTTGTGTAATGATGTGATGTAAGTGTGGGATTTAGGATATTTATAAGTGCATGGAACAAGGTAGAGTGGGAATTTAATCATAATGATATTTATTACATAACAAGTTATAAACAACATCTCTCAGTCTCAGCTCGTCTGCTTCATTTCTCCCCTCAACACGACATAAATACCTTCTAGAAAAGCAATACATCGCGACCACACGGCACCACAATATTACATAAATTCACAAAATTTACTTCTGATACATAATAATAAAAAGACTAAAATTCTCGATCAATCCTCTCTTTGCGTTCTATTATCTCAATCCATCCATCTTTCGAGGAGCCAAATCCTCCCTAAAAGTCTTCCCCTCTCCCTTCCGAGCAATACGATACAACGAAGAACAAACAATATGCGCCCCAGCTAAGACGCCCGCAATGCATCCTGCCGTCCATCCATCCATCCATTTATGGCTAGTCCATAAGATATCTTCCCTGAGAAACTATCAAAAGAAGCAAAGACAATTCTTCCTATCGACACGAATAGAAATCTGACGAAGTTTTCCTTTCTTATCCTCGCTACCTCTTTTCTTTCTTCCCCTATTCCCTATTCAGAGTTGTAATACCGTGAAAAACATCTAATATCTCCCAGCATTAGGCACGCCCTCTGGCTGGACTCCATTCTCCACCAGCTCTTTGTCCAATCCCTCAAGATCTTCATCATCATCATCTTCCTCCTCACTCTCCTCTACTTCCTCGCCATCCTCGTCCTTGAACCCACTATCGATATCCAACTTCCTCAAACGTCTCCTCATTTCATCCCTCTCTCCATTTTGCCATCGAATCAAAGCTGCAGGCGCATGTACTTTGAATCCATAGATTCGTGGTACATATCGATCATAACTCTTTGCTGGGATCATAGCCGGATAAACCTGGAATAAAATATTGTGAAACGAGGTTCCGAAATATGCGCCATCAATTGCAGAATGTCGAGAGGATTTAGGATTATAGATATCTTCACAACGAGAACAGTAAAGTTTGACGGCTTTGATGTTTGGGTTGTCGCTTTGGCCCATGGGGAGAAGTGGATGTGATTTACACATAACTCGAGGACATTTTCCAAAGTCGGCTTTCTTGTATTTTTCAAGCTGAAAATGATTTTGATTAGCATTCCCTTCGCGATGAAGATTTAAAGTACGCACCATTTTTGCCAATCCTCTAGTAGTGACGATATAACGAGCGTGAACTAAACCATATAAATGTCTTGCTGACTTCTCAATTGTCTCTCTCATCTCATCATCGCAATCCAAATCAAAGACATCCGTCACCAAATCCAACGCATATTGATAATATTGAACCTCTGTTTGAAGCCCTGTAAGGTTGAATCGATCGGTGAGATAGTCTTCGTCGATTTCGCAAAAGTACTCATTACCGCGAGATGAAATGAACTACAGGAGAAGAAAGTATTAGTAAATATAGTCTGCCAATGTTTGTGAACTAATATGAAATATGGCTAAAGACCCGTGGTGCGAATCTTTGTTGCATAAACTCGGAGGTGAGACTCGACCCGAGGGGACCGCGCGAATCAATATCGTGGCTGTACGGTGGAGGTGGTCCCGCTCGTACATTCGAGACCCAGACTTCCACTTGTTGGTTCGAAGGAGCTGGTAAAAGCACAGGAGGGGTTTCCATTGCTTTAGTATCTTCCAGGCGGCCGGGTCGACGTTGTGTTCTGCGTGTTGATTCCTCAAGACCTTCGACTTCTGAAGCTCGACGTTTCTTGCCTCTCCTGGATCTTTTGGCCCTCTTAGCCCGCCTGAGTGATAGAGTTGGCGGGGCACCTGGCGATGGCGAAGATTGAGGAGTTCGATAAAATCGGTAGTTTATACCAGTCGCAGGCGGACCATCTAACATTGTGCGTGGCTATTGATTCCACCTTTTACAATGATCGGTGAGATGCCAGTTTGAAAATGGAAAAGGCAAGGAATAATCTTCGAGACCGCAGTTTCCATTCACTTTTATCAAATGCCTTCTCTGTTCCTTCCGTATCGGTCGGCGATGTTTCCTTCATACGGTCCCTTTCGCATAGCATAAGCTTTTCCGTGGGTGGTTGTCGTCAATAGGAAAGCGCAACCTCCCGCCGTTCAGACAAATCGAAGCGCGCAAAATAACCAGCAGGATACGACACACAATCGGTTCGATCAATCTCTCCCAAAGTACCCAAACTTCAAGCCAAAAAAAAGAAATCGTAACATACCCAATCTCTCCAATAACTGGTATAATCGCTGTCCGTTTCGCTGTTAAAATCCTCCATGATAAATGTCGCACTTGATGAACTCGCTCGCAATGAAATCGCTGGTGCGAAAGTTGGCTTGATCGTGACTCAAGAAGGATATCGCTCGGTTTAGAGTTAGGTGCCTATAGCATGTGCTTGCTAGGTCGATATTCACGAAGGATGAATGTCGTTGTTCTGCTTCAATTTGGTGGAGGGGCAGAAAAGCGGAAAGTAAAGTCGTGCACGGACCTTGCTTTTATCTACAAGAATCTGGAACGGTGAACCAGCCCCTTTATCATAATCAACATCTGGGAAGTAGAACATAATGTATTACATGGAGCCGTAGGTTTGAAAGGGACTAGAAGTTGACTTATTGTAGTGTATGATTAAATTTTCGCATGTATCAATGGCAAGCCCCAGGGCTCGTTGCACTTGAGATATCGAAAACATCATGATTTAAAAAGGAGATATCAAGAAAAAGAGCGTCGCTTGCTTCTGACTCTTCCTCACAGAAGGTCCGGGTAAGGAAAGAAGTCTTGATGTAATGGACTCGGCGCAAGCAATTGAAGGGAAGTTTACATTCAAGTTTCATATTCACATATTGTTAAGCTTCTGAACACTATGCTGGCTCTCTACTTTTCTCAAGATCGGTCTTCCATCGCTCTATCTTCATGAGCATGAAGATTATGATATCTTATCGACTTCAATTATGTAAAAGTCTTCATAATGACGCTCTCAAATCCCTTTATACCCGCCATATGCTCATTACAACATACCTCTTTATCCTATTGGGTTTTCTGTTCCCGTTTCTGTCCTTATTTCACCAGTATATCTAAATCTCGTTCCCCTTCATCACATCATCCGGCAAGCAAATAACTCCCAAACAAGCCACGAAGGTACCCGCTCCAGCCAAAAACAATGGTCCATTGAGGCTCATAGCCAGCAACTTCGCCGCGATCAATGGGCTGAAGATAGAAAACAACCTGCCCCAACAACTAGCCATTCCACTAGCTGTTCCTCTTACCGATGCCGGAAACGCTTCTGGTGTCCAGCCATAGAGTACCGAGTTGAACATAGATTGAAAGAAATATTCCATGACGCTAAGTCCCACGTTTGCTGGTTGAGTATTGACTGCCGCGAAGAGAAAGAATGATGTCGCCATTAATGCAGATGAAACAATCATGGAAATTCGTCTTCCTGTTCGAGACACTTTTACCATCAAAGCTCCTAAACCTACACCTACTATACCCGGCGTGTAAATGATGACAAAATTACGGTAAGTTGCGGAGTATCCAACTGCTTTTTCCAGACCCTTCCGTGCCAAAATTGTAGGAAGAAATGCACCTTGGAGGTGTTAGCATATTTCTGTGCAATTCAATAAAGTGTGGGAATGTATACCTGAGACGGAGAATCCCCAGTAGTCGAATGCGTATATTATCCATACCAATATGGTAACTCGTGCCATTTGCTTTGTTTTGAATAGAACCCCAATCCTCTTCACTTCCTTTTTGATCTTTTGACGCAAAGTTAAATCGCCAGGAATTTTTCCACCTTGAAGGCGAGCGTTGCCAGACGTAGTGGAGATGGGAGATTGAATTTCATCCGGATTATCCAAAGCCCTAAAATCCTCGATTGTAATGGTCAAAGTTTTTCTGTTCGTTTTTGCAATATTTTCTAACACTCTGAAAGCGTCAACGTCCCTGTTCTTGCTGAGAAGATACTTGGGCGACTCTTGAAAGGTGAATATGAAGAATCGCATTAAAAATACAAGCAAGGATATCGAGCCCAGTGTATATAGGAGATATCTCCATCCCATGTTATCTTTCTTGGAACAACATTCAGCTCCTGGTGTTAAATCGTTTGCTTTGCATGATTTCAGGTCTGTCGCGCAGGAAAAGTTGGGTATAAATCCGTAAGCTATGCCGCTGCAAACTACAACTCCAATCGGTTGGAAAACGGACAGGAGTGCCAACATGAAACGGTTTTTCTATGTTGAGTGTTAAATGCAGCTCCTCTATCATGAAGTCGCGTGGGGGTCACCTGGGGAAGGAATTCCAGAGCAATTGTTGTGTCTATAGGAATATTTCCTCCAATGCCAAAGCCTGTAAAGGCAACTAACACAAGAAGACCATTGTAAGAACTAGGTATTGCCATGCAAATACCAAAGATAGAGGTGATGAAAACCGTGCCATTGAAAGCCCATTTGCGACCTGAAAGATGAAGTGAGTTGTGAGAGAATGTAAAGTCGTATGGGCTGGGAACTTACCAATGATATCTACCAAGACACCCCATACAAAAGCTCCCACAGTCAAACCAGCGTTGACCACTGTAAACAGACGACCTAATTGGGTATCTACATGATGTGGTCAGCACTACATTTAGTTGTACAAGATCTCCCTCAACCAGTGCGACCTGTCTTATCTTTGTCACAACACGGAGCCCATATCAAACTCAGCCTTCCAAGTTCAAGGATTAGTCCAATGAGAGACGTTACATACCAGAAATTCCCATCTCCCTCTGCATAACCGGTGCAATCAACCCGAATGCCTGCGCCCAGAGTAGATCCAAAAAGTACCCCAAGCCACATAAGCTCCATATATACCACTGATATCTTCCCATGCCCATGATGTCAATTTCCCTCGCAACCAACAAGATCTTTTTGTCCTGTATCGACAAGCCATCGGGAATTGGATCGGCGGTCAATCCTTCGGCGTCAATCGATGTCTTCAAGACTGGTGAAATGCGACCGTCGCGTGAGTTACCTTTTTTGTTCAATTAGCACATATTTTAACTTAAATAAATCAATCCAGATTGAAGGAATCAAAAGCTTCACACTTTGCCTTGATGGAGACGTAAAGTCTTTAACGTGTGTAGAATTTGCCACACCATCCTCACTCTTCCCATCAATCATGTTTGAGGAATCCATGTTTAGGAGTGGAACTGTACTTTCACTTTCGTTCTCTGTAGTAGCACACACTGCCTTCCCTTTATTCTTAAGAAAAGTATCCTCGCTATTCCAAGAAAAATAAGTGCGCATGGCGTATGAGTTATGTATGTATGTGCTGGGTTAGTCAGGTCAGTTGATTTACCGGGATGGAAGGTCAAACAATGCGATGATATCAACATCCATATCTAACTTCGCACTTGCTTAGCGTGAACATTTTAGCCTGATTAGTTTGAAGTTTGTCAATTGGGCAGAAGCAAACAACCACCAGTGAGTATTACCCGTGGAGTGAATTTCTGTGACTTGCGAGATAGAGGATCGTCTCAATAGCAAGCATTACTACAATGTAAACTCACCTACGCCGGATGACACTACGCCCGATAGAGAATAGGACCTGGGTTGTTGATTGGGTGAAATGAGAGATTCAAGCTTTCTTGCGAAATCCTGCACCTGGGGATAGGAAATAACAGACAACCTTGAGTCAGAAAGGTTAGTGTCGTCCGTTGTGTATGTATGAGTTGATATGGTCTCGAGACAGTAAGACGATGAAGATAAGGAAAGAATGGTGAATTTGATTGATGCGTTCATGCATACCTAGCTACCTAGCTACCTAGCTACGTAGGTACCTAGGTAGGTAGGTAGGTGAACAATGAAGTGAACACAACTTTAAGCTGTGACAGGAAACTGTGCCCAAGACACCGTGCCAACAAATTTGACTCTCCGATAGCCCTGATATAGTATACGACTTGTTCCTGCCCTAAATTCAAAGGGAAATAGTTAAATTCACTTAATCCACTTGGACTCTCGGAACGAAGCGATCTCATAATGGCAATTGGAAATAAGGAATGCTATTTACTAGCAACTTCCAAAATTCCAATCGTAAGCCGGGGCAAAGCGGGGAAAACCTAGAGGCAAAAGATCATCACCGTCCAAGGTCGATCTGGACTAGAACCTCCGATGCAAAGAGTTGTTTCTATGCGTTTCGCCGAGTAGCTACGAAGTGGTAATGTAATACCAGCGATTGATTCCAGTTGTCAGGACAGTTGACAAACATAATTCCTTAGGTATTTACGCATCAGCCGACTTTGAGTTTTGAGTTCTTCGGCTGCTGACAAGGTACAGTGGGGATGGAGATCTATCTATCTTATCAACACAACATACAAAATCATCGTACCTGCACCAAGTTCGAGACCAAGATAGCTTGAGTGAATTCTCAAGTTCGCTTCAGTCAGCCCCTATGAATGTGTTATCATATAAATACAAGCAATTCAATCACACACTGTGGACCATAGTTCTTTCATGTTTGTTTTTTATTTTTATAGTTTCAATGTTTATTGTTGCGCCTAGAATATATTTACAAAAGCTATCTCATGTAATCAACACAAGAAATAATACCCTTTTTCTGCTTCCACAACTCATGACAGCAATAGAGCGAAACTGCCAATAATTTTCTGCTATATGCTTGTAGCCAGAATGTTTGCTGCAAGACGTGAAGCAACTTGTGAAGACGATATCAGATTCCCAGACGCCAATACTGTAAGATCCATTTGCGTACAGACCCAAACGCCAATGTATGTTTAAAAAAAAAGAGTATGCACCAAACCAAAGACAACAAGAAAGATATCACTCAACGCCTCGAGAAGCATCGACATAAACCAAAGTCGAACCATTATAGACCAGGATAGCGTGTGGTATATTGGTAGTCGAATCCATAAGATCATCCGTCGTAAGTACCATTTCGTATCCCAACCAATTAAAATGCAAAGGGTGTATCCAGGGAAGAGCACGATGAAGGTAGTAAAATATGATTAAGTATCATATGTTCTATGAAGATTCTAAAGGTTGGGTGACATCAATACCATAAAGGGAGGCATGTTTCTTGGCCCATGATCTGGTAAGGATTGAAGCTGGTAGAATGTTAGTCGCAGTCAGGATGTTTGTTTTTTCATACGGAATTACATACCCTTCAAAAATTTCTTGCTAGCATACTTCTTGAAGAATGCTTCGTGGGTAACAGGGCGAGCAAGGTAATCAACCATCAATTGGAAGACGGGCTCAATCTCATCCTCGCTGTACCCAGAGTAGTGAGTCAACATTGGGTCCCATTCACCCTTCTCAAGGATAAGGCGGGCGAGATACATGGATGCAGCAGCGACGTGACTTGGGAGGTACTTCATGAATCGATGATCAAGGAGACTGATCTCCATCAAGTACTTGCCCAAAGTGCGGGTCTGGATATCGTAGTCATCTGCCTTGGAGATACGTCTCAAGAAGTTCATTGGGTTGGGATAGCTCAAATCATAGTTCAGAGCACTAAGAACATAACGCTCGGCACTAAGGATCTCTGCTTCGGTAAACCCATCATCGGCGACGTGACGGAAGTTGGCGACGTGAGGTGAGAGGACTTCTTCGTACTTCGAAGCAATGAACATTGCAGTGACACCAACGAGCTGGAGACGATCAAGTTGAACAACTTTGGTGGAAAGGAAGCGGTCGATGATGTTGACGGCAAGGAACAAGGTTTCTGGAAGGAGGTGGAAGCGTGTGTGAACTTCAATGAGCCAGTCGACGAGAATGCCACGCATCTTCCACTCCAGATCTTCTTGATGTGCCATGTACTTTTCATTGGGCTTGGTAGCAATCTCCAACTTCTTCAAGTACTCGAAAATTTCTACGACATACTCAGCCACCATCAAGGGGTCATCAGTGTCTTCAGCATCCAGGTCGCGTACACCTTCGGCAAATTCAAGTCTAACAGATTCCTTTGGCTCTGGCTCAACGACAGCTTCGGCCTCCACCTCGTTCTCTTTTTCCTCGACGACAACTTTAGTTTGCTTTTCTGCTTCAATGTGGACCTTCTTTCGGGATGGTTGTTCGTCTTCAACGGGTGCTTCTTCCTTTACCGCGGCAGCTATCGAAGCTGCAGCGGTCTTTCTCTTCATCACTCCAGATCCAGCAGCCTTGCTCAACGACTTCTTGTTTGTATCCTTAGCTCCGAGGGCTGAACGTGTACTATTCTTGGTGACACCAGTTGGTTGTGAGGCTTTCGAGACTAATCCACTCTTAGCAGCAGGCTTCTTTGCCTCGACTGCATCTCCTCCCTTGGCAACATTGCTAACATCTCCCAAGGCTGCCCGCTTTCGGGCCGGTTGTGCATTGATAGTTGCTTTCTTGGTTGCGAGTGGCTTCTTCACGGCACCGGTGACTTCTTCCGTAGTAAATGCTGCAGATTTAGATCTAGTAAGACGGGTTGTAACACCAGCTACGTTCTCATCGTTCTCATTTGTAGGAGCCCTACGACTAGTTGCTCGACTCTGTATGCATACATGATTAGCATTAACCAATTGAAAGGTCAATTGAACCGATGCACAGATCTGGAATCAAACTATGTGGTCTCTGGGGTACATACAACTGGCATATTTGACGATGTGTTGTTGTATTAACTATTATGTGTGGAGTGTTGTGGAGAGGGTGATGGTGGGTCGCTAAAAAAGATGATGGTCAGCAAAACGCGGTATAGTGATGTTGGAAAGCGCGTGGTGAATGTTGAGACGACGACATCAAGACGCGAAATATCAACGACGTCGAGATGTATGAGGTTAAGGGGATACATACATGAAGATGTATTAGACCTTCAATAGAACCCGACGTGTAATTGACGATATGAAGAATGGGGTTGTGATATATCGACTTTGTTGACAGATGAAGAATTGAACTCGTTTTTTTTTCTTTGGAATTGTACACGAAACTGAAGAGCTTGAACGACTGAACAAACAAGATACCGAAAAGGATTTAAAGCTGGCAAATACCTAAGAGGCTATCAAGGACATGAAGAGGTCGGAGGTCGAAGGTCGAGTTGTCGAATGTATTGTTTATTTTGGTAGGAAGTGTTGATGTTTATGGGTGGATGTGGATGTGGATGATGGAGTGAATGAAGTTAAATGTGTGTGAGTGAGAGGGAAGACTTTCTAAAGAGGTTGTCAGAGCTCTTCCAAGGTTGCCAGGCACTCGCTTGTTATGGGTGGGTATTGGATATTTTAGCGTGTTCGTGCTTCCTTTGCGGGTTCTTTTCCTTCGCTGGTACAGTAACAAGGATTTTGGAAGAACGAATGAGGGAACGAATGGGTTTGAGAAGTAAGGACAGAGCAGGGCGGAAGGGATACCGGTAGTAGATATAAGTGAAATTCATAGATGGTTTCAAATTTGATTGAATGAAGTATCGTGATTTATTACGACCTAAATTGACCAAGAGAAGTCTTTGCAATATAATTTACTACGGTATTTACGGTATTTATTACTGTAATTACCATAATTACCATAATCCAGTTTACCTCCAAATTTGAAGATTTTTGGTCGGTCACAACAACATCATATATAGCTGGAGATCCACAATTGACATAACTTTACTCGAATTGAAACTTTGAGAGCAAGTTAAACGCCAAAGCTTTTGTTGATTTGCGTTTTCTCCTAGGCAACCACTACGCAACCTGTATCCATTTCCACTTCGGGTGGCTTGGGACCGTGTTTCCCGTCTTGCGAGTGTGGCTAGAATGTGGTGTGGCTGGTGATGAAGTCGCACCCTCGCACCTAAGAAAATGTCTACCTACTTGATTGTATCGGTACATATTTCCAGCTGGATGAATTTGAATTGCCTTGATATTGGGTCGATTCACATCAGATATTGACTTCTCAGTATATCATCCTTCATTATTTTGTATCTTGGGTAAGTTTCATACTCCTTTTCATGCTTCTACTCTCATACAATATTCACGTCAATTTTTTATGTCATGTAATAATTGAAACGAAATTTTTACTTCTCGACTCTGCAACTTATCACCACATCCAACAATACTCAAACTAAACTTAATCGGGAGATAGCCTTTCCGGAAGAAGTTTGAGATACGTTCAAGCACGAACGACATCGACCTTCAAAACTCCCACCCACTGTTTCCGGAGGCTCTCGCCGTGGCGAGAAGATCAATCGAATTGTGGTGATCAATTCGATATACAACATACATCATGTTTCAACCCAGGATACTTGCGCGACAATGTCCAAGGGCAACATGCAATTCTCTACCCATACTTCGAGCCTTCCCTCGCACATACGCAACGGTCGTCGAACCGGTGCAAGCCGAAGTACCTGCAGCACAAGCTGTAACAGCAGGCTTTGCGCCCCCGGTATCTTCCTCAGATAGCAGCAGTGCTACTTTTGCTATGCGAACATACAAACCAAGAACGCCTGGTGTCAGACATTTAAAGAGACCTATAAACGATCATTTATGGAAGGGAAGACCATTTTTACCCTTGACTTTCGCAAAGAAGGGTCATGGAAAGGGTGGAAGAAACAATAGTGGTCGAGTCACAGTTAGACACCGAGGTGGTGGTCACAAGAGGAGAATTCGTACTGTCGATTTTCACCGAATGACACCGGGTGTACACACAGTGGAACGTATTGAACATGATCCAGGAAGGAGTGCACATATTGCATTACTGAATGAGGAAGCTACTGGTCGGAAGAGTTATATCGTTGCTGCAGAGGGCATGAGAGCTGGAGATAAAGTACAGAGTTATCGAGCCGGTATCCCAAGAGATTTATTGGAGAGTATGGGAGGATTCATAGACCCGGGTGTGTTGGCTGCAAAGACTGCTTGGAGAGGAAACTGTTTACCCTTACACATGATTCCTATTGGTACAACTGTCTACAATGTTGGTTCCGCAAAAGGAAGAGGTGCTGTCTTCTGTAGAAGTGCAGGAACACATGCGGTTGTGGTGTCTAAAGACGATGAGACATCCAACAACGACAAGGGAC